TCAACTCTGAAGAATTGGGTAGGAATGCTTTGCTGATTTATTGAGGGGGAACAGCTTCTTGAAAGCTTCTCAAGGGCTAAATTAGGCTGAATATTTATTCTTGCATGACTTGGTTCTAAGTGTAATTGAGGAGAAGAGGGAACCTTTAAAAACTTGATAAAATGTTTATGCTATTAACAAAAATTGAGACAAATCCTTCCTCCAGAAATACACATGCACAGGCAAGTTAGGAATTACTAACAAATCAGACTACAGCCATGGACTTTCTCCTCGAATCTACAGCATGACTACAACTCCCATGCTGTTGGGGCAGTGGGGGTTGTGGTCCAACACATTTAGAGGGCAAGAGATGGGGAGAAGCAGCACCTCATAACTGGAGGGAGAAAGGAGGAGCACACACCCTGTGCTGATGAAATAATTATCTTCCTTGTTATTTCCAGCTCAGTTCCCAGACAAAGATGAACTTACAACTGTAAATTACAATAAAGAGAATTGTTTCATCAGCACAAGGGACATGCTACAGTTGGATGGCTGATGCAGAACATGTCTGTACAGGCCCTTGACATTTAAACAGTGCCCCAGTAGCATTGTTTTGCTCTTTATTTAAGGAGCACCCTTGATTTGCCTTGGGGACAACAATGGGAGATTAACCTTCATTTTAGAAAAATGAGAGCTATTCAGAAGAGATACTTCATTCTTTTTTCTCACAGAGCCTCGCCTACATTATGTTCATCTGAAATGGCTTTATTATAAGTTGTATTGAAAATAGGGGGACATTCGAACCATGTTGTGATACATACCTGTAACCCTCAACTGTGTGCTGCTGTACACACACATATAGCTCTAGGGCCATAGCTGCAGATGTCTGTCTTCTCCCATGAACAGAAAGTTGGTTGGGATTAGTCTTGTTCCTCTCCATGCCAGGCAGCTGTTTTGTCAGCTGTTTTTTTCTCAGGATGCTTATGTTTACCTTTGGGTTAATGCCCATAAGGAACTGGAAATCTGTGGTGGTCCACTGTGGAAGGGAATATCTAATTCACATGGGGCTTTATAGATATCTTATGTACTTATCCAGTTGCATCTCCATAAAATGTGCCTGCTAAGCTGGGTGTACAGGAATTCAGTCCAAAGAATGGATATTTTCACAGCAGGTATACATTTCGGTGAACATGTTTGAACCAGTAATATTTGAGTTCTCTCTCTCAGTTTGGGTAAAAACAAGGAGTATCATGTACCACCTTAAAAATTAATGAATTTCTTATAGCATAGGCTTTGGCAGACTGCAGTGGACTTCACCAGGCATATGTATTGCGATCCTGTGTCACCAGAAACACGCAGACGTGCTCACAAACTAGGGGGAAGTAGTGCAATGTAATAGATGCAGAGCATGACCATTACCTTAGCACTGATCATTTGCAGCATGGTTGTTGGGTGGTAACACAAACAACCTTGCACAGATGAGCTGAGGAGCACATGTAGTGTGATAAACAGCTTTGGTCCTTGCTCAAGCCATAGAAAATGATAAATTAGGCAGTTCCAGGTTGAAACCTATCTTTGAAGTGCTTTGTTTTCGGAAGAATGTCTTTCTTAAGGTTAGTGACAGAGTGTTCTGAGAGGTTGAATTGTCCCCCTCGCTGCTTATACAATATTGCCATGTGTGCCTGCCTGCCTGTCTCTAAGCTAGCATGGGCCTCCCAGCCAGAGTCTATGAGAAGGATGCCATTGTTAAGGATGGTCTGTAGTTTATTAATGGCTGGTCGATGGTTTCAGCTGAGAACTGCAGGGAAAAACAAGTGGTGTTCTTTTGTTTTCGCCCTGGGTCTGTCCTGCGAGAGATTATTTCTGGGTAGCAGTCTCGCCCTGCTGATCTGGAGGGGTTCCCCCCACTTTGTTTGGTGACATTCTTCCTCATCTACAACACTATCTTGTACTATTATGGCTTGGGCATATTATTATCCTCCCTTGGGAAATGATCTGATACTGAGACCTTCTCTTGGCATTTAATAGACAGCCACAGTGTCAAATCAGGGCAGACTCAGATGCTGTTCATTGAACGCCCCTATCAAGTAATGAGTGGAAATGAAGAACAATTCCAGACTGTGCTTTAGCAGTTTCTGTTGCCTTTCTTAGTGTCCCAAATGCTATAAGTTCATCTTTGTCTGGGAATTTAATATGGCTTCAGTGCAGCTGTTCTAGCTGATTTGCTTAAGTAATGCAGATTTTAAAGAATTGTCTGAGCAGCTTCATTCTTTAGTTAAGTATTCACATTATACATTTACAACATGCTTGGAACCCTTCCAGTTTTTTTAATCATCATATGCCATTTTATGGCTATAATTATTTTTTGTGAAATGTACAAAGTACATCATGATATTAATCTCATCTATTCTTGCAACAATTCTGTGAGAGAGGCCATTGACTTGGAGAGGAAGAGGAAATCCAAATAATTTTACAAGAAGTCTTTGAGCCACATTTTTCTCTCTTCACTTGGATTGCGGGGAGGGGGTGAGTGCGAGTGCACAATGTCTCTTAATTTTCTGCTGAACACTGTTTACAAATATTAAATAGATTCAAAGTGTTTGGAATTTTCAAGTTTGTGAGAAGGAGATGCTTGCCGCAGTATGAATTTGCTGCTGTTATATATGTGACGAGTAACTGAGTGGCAGGCCAGTGCTGAGTACAGCAATCAAGCGTAGGAAATTACGGAGGACATTCATTCATAGGGGAGGGGAAAAACAGGTAAGAATGCCTTGGTTATCTGATTAAGCCTCATGTTAAGCCATGAGTATCACCAATGCTTTTGATGATGCTGATGATACACTTTCCCAAACTTCTCAAAGTGCTTCCCATGCATTTATTATTTATTTATTTATTTATTTATTAAAACATTTCTATGCCGCCCCATTCGCCGAAGCCTCAGGGCGACTCACAACATAAAATAAAATATAAAAATAACAATATAAAATAAATAACAATATAAAAGAAGTCGCCCTGGCAGATAAATAAGCAAATACTGTTAACAATTAGAATGACGCTTAAATAAAAAGGTCTTCGCCTGGCGCCAAAAAACAAATAACAACGGCACCAGGTGGACCTCTCTGGGGAGCGCATTCCATAGATTGGGCGCCACTGCAGAGAAGGCCCTCCTCCGAGTACCTACCCTCCTAATTTCTTTCACGGAGGGTTCCCGGAGAAGGGCCTCTCCCGCATTACCTTTTACAACAGCAGTATAAAGTCAGTATTACCATCCTGACCTATCAAGTACTCACGGCTGAAATGGTATTTGTACTACCCAGCTCATCCCCATTGCTGTTGCATGGCTTCTACTCCAAGTAAGGCTGGTCTCTTATTAGAATATATTAAATGATCAGGGAGTAGAGAAAATCTGACATAAATTCTACTTTGGCCCATAGACTTATGCTAACCATAACTAACTGAGGTAACATTTCAATGGGTCTGCTTTAAGTAGGATGTTTGTTGGATTTTACCAAGTGTGTGCTATTATTTTTCATATAAATAAAATATGTTTTTATCAATGTTCATCCTGTAGGCATGGAACTGCTATATCCTCTTTTCGTACCTTGTACCCAAACTATTTCCTAAAAGTCTTTCCTTGAAAACCTCCAGAAACTACTGTGCTGCCTCCCTAGATGTTCCTTGAGCTTAGGATATTCTTTTAAATATTCATCCTAGATGAATACTTCCTTCAGTATTAAACTTATTACTTCCCATTATTCCCAAGTGGAGGTGGTGCAATCAGTAACACCATGATTTAACTGTTTTCTTAAACTAAATCTTTCCAGTCCCTTTGTATGAATTCTCCTTTAGACTTTTTGTGTCTGCAAAATTCTACCAGTCATGGCTGATCTTAACTTGTTTCTGATATGGTGGCTAAAAGAATGTCCAAATTCAGTCAGTTTTTAAACTTAGGAATTTGTGTCCTAGCATTGCCACAACCTGTTCCTAAATAACAGCCATTGGATGCATACTGATTAAGATGTCGAGCTATCTGGAATGAAATCTTTTCTGCTGCTCATTGGAGCCGCTTCAACAGGGATGAAAGGATGCAAACCATTCATTGGTCAGCCAGGCTCAGTATTTCTTGTATCAGCTGGCAGTGGCCCTCTGGGGTTCAGATGGGATTCCTTCACAGCATTCTCTAGAGATGCCGGCTGTTGAACCTGCGGCCTTTTGCATGCGAAGCAGGTGCTCTGCCACTGGGCACGGCCTTCCTCAGCAGAGCTTTCCCACTCCTTCAGCCAACATTCTTCCCACTTTGTCTACAAAAAGGAGAAAGTCTGTATATTATGTGTGAACAGATATTACTCCTCCGCATTGACCAGAAGAAACAGCCTTCTGCATTAAGAAGAAAACGTAGGTATATGGCTTGAAGTATTATTTTGCAGCCATTGTTTTTCTTAAATAACAGGTGCAATGCTAGGGTGCTAGGTACTTTTCTGCAACAAGGTAATGAACTAGTGATTTTTCCAGCTCAACTCAGTTCTCAAAAAATTATTTCAAAACTTGTTTCAGCTTGCTTCACTGGTTGAGGGGCTCATTTGAATGGGAAAAGTGTGCATTCCTCTATACATTTTTCGAAAGTGTGTACTTCCCCACCCTCATTCACTAAAGCATGAAACTCTGCATTTCAAAGTGTGCTTTAAAAAAATGAAGATTTTCAAATACAATCACATGTTTGGAAATTTGCGAACATTTTTGGAGATCATGCTCCAATTCACCTTTGGATTGCAAACATGGCATTTTTGAGTGATACGTGAACTGAAATAAAATTTTAGTGCATCCTTAAGTGATGGCTGGGCTGGGTATTTAGTGGTGTGAAGAGTGACACCTAGTGGGAATCCTTGGTTAACAGTGCCCTGTGCTTGCCAAGAAAGGCAGAATTCCTTTCAATAAACACGGATAAAACTAAAACTTTTTCAAGGGTGCCTATGCACATGTTCCTGAGCATTAATGACTTGATGTTATTATTATACCAATAGACTGAAGATCCAACCATGGAAAGACCTTATACATTTAAAGATTTCCTTCTTAGGCCAAGAAGGTGAGGTTCTTTTTTAATATACATATATACCTATATATACACAAGCTGTCTTATCTAAAATGCTTATTTCTTTTAAAAAGTGCTTTTCTAGCTCAGAAGGTGCATATCATATATTTTTAACAATTGTCCCCCTCCCTGCCCCCATAGTCACAAATCTCGAGTAAAAGGTTTTTTGAGGCTGAAGATGGCTTACATGCCAAAGAACGGTGGCCAAGAAGAGGATGGCGATCAGAGGGATGACTCTGAGGTAAGTGCTTTCAATTAGATGTTTCAAAGTCTCCTTTTAACATCTTAATCTGTTGTACAGAGAGCCTTTTTGGCTAATGGGTGGGATAGAAATCCAGTAAATAGAGGTGATAGCCATTCTACCCGGTAGGTTTCATTGCTTAGGAGGTACAATTGCACTTTTACTAGCTGTCCCAAATCCAAATACAGGAGGCAAGACTATTTTGTTCTTCAGGTAAGTTTCTTTAGGCCATTGATGGGGAAACTCTGGCCTACAGACACCTTTCCCTTCCCCAAAGCCTTAGCCTTAGGAAAGGTGAAGAAAACTTTCTGTTGGCAGCCGCTCTTAGGTATGTATCGATCAGCTGAGCAGCATAGGAGCAGTGGGGCTTAAAGAGCTGAGACGTGGGGGAAAGGAGGTTCTTAGCTATCAGCTGAGCTGTATTGAAGGTGAGGAGTGAACCACACCTTTCCCACAATCAGGTGGGTCTGAGACGGGAGGAGTTTTCTTAAAGTTAAAAGAAGCACATGTTATGAGAAGAACCTACCGCACCAGTTTCAGAAGCGCCACAAGAAGGCTGCTGTGTGGCCCACGCTCCCTGCCAACCTGTGGGAAGAACTCATTGCACAGGCAGCCTCACTGGAGTGGTGCGTTTGTGCCTAGTTTCTTTAGGCCACTGTGGCCTTCAAATTTTGCTCTTGGGAAGGCGGAACCCTCTGGCTCTGAAAAGTTCCTGACATGTGCTTGAGGCATTATCACAATAATTGGCTGGATTGCCAGCCTCCAGGTCAAGACCTGTTTATTTGATCAATATTTTAACGTCAACCAATTTTAATTGTATGTGATTAATTTATTTTAAATGGGTCAGTTTTATGCTCAGTTTGTGGAATAGCTAATTTGTTTAGGATTTAGAATATTCTGTAAGCCGTCCAGAGACGACAGTGATGGACGGCCTATCAATTTCCTAAATAAATAAATATTTTTTTGTGACAAAAAGTACTACTACTACATTCAGCATTACAGCAGTGTGCTGTGCGTTGTTGCTGTCATGATTTTTGTTTCTTGGTTTTTTTGTTCCTTGCAAGCCGTCCAGATACTTTTTTAGTAATGGACAGCATAGAAAAACTTTAAATAAATAAATTCCACAAGGAAAACTGGGAGACACAGTATCTCTCCAAGTACAGTATGTTGCCCCCTGCAGAAGTTATGTAGAATTGCCCCATATTTGGATTTTAAGAAAGAGCTCATGCATTTGTTATTCTTGAGTGTTTATTTGCAGCATTTTTCTGTTTTATTTCCTATTCATTATTGTAGTCTGCTGTATCATTGTATATTTTAATTAATGCTTTTATGCTGTTCTAGCAATACTGTCTAATGTTCACAGTGTGGGATAGAAAAGTTAGAAAGAAATAGCCTGTTCATCGTTCCAGGATCTGTTTAGATATGGAACAGTACAGAAGTCATGTAAATAAATAAACCTGCCTCAGTGCAGAACAAAGCTCTGGTGTACACAGACATAGAGTTTCCAAAGGGAGGGCCGTATTTTTGTGGTCCTTTGAGCATTCTGCCTCAAGCACTCTTCCTAAGGCAGTGAGCACGACATCCATAGAAAACGCCATTATCTGATTGCTTCATCAAGCTCCCACCACTTAATGGCTTGCAGTGCAGTTCTTGGCTCAGGCATGATGAGCTGTGACCTGGGTGGGTGGTAAAGCAGTAGGGTAGCCATTGCTTTGTTGTGGGTTTATTGCTTCCTGCAAGCAAAGCAACTCAGTCTGCAGTATCTTCAGTGTATTGTATGAATCAGCTGCAAGAGCAGGAACACGTTTCTATGGGAATGATATATTTTTGTCATCACATGATGAGTGAATCAGACATGAGCTAGTACAATCTTTATTCATTAGGGTGACCAGTAGACAAAAGTATTGTTTTCTAACTTAACTGACTAAATATCAGTTCTGGGAAGGGAAGCTATCACCAAATTCCTTCCATTTGTCTGTGCCATATATCAGAATGCAACTATGAAATGTCACTGATTTCCAGGAAAAAGACCAATCCACCTTTTCTTTGCAAAAGTTTGGGATGCATTTTACCAGGAAAAGAAATCTTTTCTAGATCCAGATTGGAATCAAGGCTCAGTCATCCATGGTTTTCAAGCCTTGTGTATTTCACTGCAGCAATGCACTCTTCATAAAACTACATTTGACGATTGCTAGGAAGTGGCAGCTAAGGCTAATTGCTGGCAGCCTTTTGAGAGATGGACTGGAAGGAATATACCATTCCTTTCCTACCCAGTTGCATAGTCAGCAGCATACTTCCAGGCCTTCTTCAAAATGCTGGCGATTCCCCTTAAAAATCCTTCGCAGCTTGTTCTCCGGTTACCTGCAGGAGCACTTTTTCCAGGGAGTTGCTCCTCCTCTTCACTCTTGCAACCTCCTTGCTTACCTTGCTCTTGCTCTAGCCCATACAAAGGTGATAACGATGAGGAGGAGAAGTAGATGCCCCTGCCCTTCCCTTCACTTCTTCTCTGACTGCCCAGCAAGCAAGTGGTAACAATGATTACAAAGAGGAAGAGCCATAGCAGCTGCTGGCAATGATGGTGAGAAGTAAGACTCACTGAGGGAAGCGGCCCTGGAGGTGCCTTCCCAAGTCCTCTCCAGATCTTGGAGCCAGCCCTGATCTTCTTCCGTATGCTTCCTTAGATCTGTGGGTCTCCATTCCTGCTTCCAGGAAAGTGCAGTCTTTGAGGACATGACTGTATGGCTGGGAACAGCGTCTGCAGACAAATGCTTGATGTGGAAATGCTACACACAATGCATCTTGCTGCCTCTTTCTCATATGAAAGGTTGGCAGCAGAAAATGCTCTTCTACCCCTCCCATCATTTAAGAAATAGTTACATCCTGACATGTCCAGTTTGTATAGCTTAACATTCATTTTCCTTTTTGCCCTGCAAAGCATGGTTGGGAAGTAGTAGACTCCAGTGATTCCCCTTCGCAGCACCAGGAGGAGCTGCCACCGCCACCCTTGCCTCCTGGATGGGAAGAAAAAGTGGACAATCTTGGGCGTACCTACTATGTCAACCATAATAACCGGACAACACAGTGGCACCGGCCAAGTTTAATGTAAGTGCGCACCTCAGTGGAATGCATTATCATCTTGTGAACTTCACTGCCATGCCATAACTATTAGCTATGATTGCTGGAGGAGTAGGAAGCAGTTTATACCAGGTGCTGGCAGGAAATAATTTCTGTCATGCCCTGATCGAGAGCCAATGTGGAGTAGTGGTTTCGAGTATTGGACTGGGGCATGGAGCTCTGGGTACTAGGCCCCATTCAGCCGTGGGACTCACTGGGGGGCTTGAGCCAGACACTCACAGGGTTGCTGTTGTGAGAATAAAATAGAGTGGAAGAGAACATATGTCAGCTGCCTTTGGTTCCTCACAGGAGGAGAAAAAGGGTGGGATATATAATAATAATGTAACTATACTAGAAGATATAGGGGATACCACAGTGAATGCAGTATTCAATTCCTTTGTTCCCTTTGTACCATTTTCTGTGGCTCTGCCTCGGGAGCAGAATGCTGGGTTCATTGTATTGACTAACTAATGCTATGCTGCATATTCTAATCTGTAGACCTGGTGCTTGTTTCTTCCACAGTTACAGAATCAGTAATTAGAACCCTAAGCTAGTAATGGTTGCACAAGAGAGATAAAGAGATAGGCATCCTACCTATTTAAATGTTACAATAATGTATTTTTGCCTGATGTAGTGGTTAGAGTGCGGACTGGGACTCAGGAGAGCTATGGTCTAATCCCTACTTGTTCATGAAACTCATGGGATGAGTTTGGGCCAGTCACTGACTCTCAGTTTAACTTACTTCACAGGGTTTTCTAATCTAATATTTTATTGCCCTGTATTCATGAATGTTAAATTTGCTGATGCTTTTTCGCCCTGCTTTTCCTTGTAGTTATACTAATTGCCTTCCATTATTTCACCTCCAACTTGGTGTAATTCATCACTAGTCCTCTGCACAGTTTAAGCTAAACTATTAGGGTGGAACACAATGGGTAAACGACAATCTAAAATGTGCTTTATGATATAAATCCCATTCCTAAAGGAAGTTTACAGTATAAGATACTAACATGCAATACAAAAAAAAAATGGCTAGATTTCCCCTCTTAATCCAACAATAGCAATGCAACTGATGGTCAAATGAAAAAAAGTTATTGTCAGTTTGACTGGCTAGGACAGGAGCCAAGGTTGAAGCAGGTGAGACTCAGTGACCCTCAGTTAAAGGAGGTATGGCGTTTTCAGTTGATATCATTCTGCTGCTCAGTGGAGAACCCACAGAAAATGAGAAGCATCACTCTGCAAGCAGATGAAGGCTTCATTCAACAGGGCAGCAATATATATGCATTACCACTAGACACCTCGATATGGGCAGACCTAAGGGTGTTACCCGGGACTGCAGGTGGCGCAGTGGTTTAAACCACTGTGCTGCTGGGCTGGTTGATCGAAAGGTTGCCAGTTCAAATCTGCACAATGGGGTGAGTTCCCGTTGCTCCGTCCCAGCTCCTGCCAACCTTGCAGTTCGAAAGCATGCAAATGCAAGTAGATAAAAAGGTGCCACTTCAGTGGGCAGGTAACAGCGTTCCATGCACCTCGATGTTTAGTCATGCTGGCCACATGACCACGGAGACTGTCTGCGGACAAATGCTGGCTCCCTCGGCTAGGAAACGGAGATGAGCACCGCCCCCTAGAGTCAGGCATGACTGGACTTAATGTCAAGGGGAAACCTTTACCTTTAAGGGTGTTACCCAGTGCTTTTTCTGTAAGAAAAAAGGTGCCAGAACTCATGAAATTATTTACCTTTTGTACATAGTCAATCACTGTACACACACCCACACATGTCAGTTGTGTAACGAAACATAATGGTTGCCACCCGCAAAAAGCTCAGTGCGCGACCACATGACCAATCACAAGCCGAGCAGCGCCACAAGCTGAGCAGCGCCATCACAACCAGTGCGGACAAAGTATGCATGCACCAGATTTGACACACAAGCAGCCCGCATGCACCGTTTTAATGATTTTGCTGCCGACCTGCTACGCTCAAATCCACGTGGACCAAACATCAAATTTTCAAAAGTTACATTTAAAACTTGGAAAATATGTCGAAAAAAGGTGCCAGAACTCCATTCCGGTGCATTCTATGACAAAAAAAGCACTGGTGTTACCTGAGGAAACAAATGTGAAGAAATGCCTTCTAGTCTGTATCCACTAATGTCAGTGCTACATCATGCAGTATTTACGGCATACAACAATCACCAAAGTTTAAATGCTTGAAAAGCAGCAAAATATAAAGACAACCATTTATTGGATAAAGGGGAAATTCTCTCCTATGCATCCAGCTTGAAAAATCACACAATCTTCATATTGGAGTCTGCAGCTTTGAGAAAGACACTAATAAATTCCTATGATGATGATGAGGATAATGACGATGACAATGACGGCTTCTTAATCAGACTCAGATTGTGCATGCAGACAAGCTCACACTTTTGATTCATCACGCCTGCTGTTTATTTAGCTAAAGATCTGATTTTTACATATATGTATGCATATTTAAAATATCCTTTGATTGTTGATTCTCCTGGACCTTTCAGCAGCTTTCAACAACATTGACCATGGTGGCCTTCTGGATAAGTCGGCCAGGTTGGGAGGTGGGGCAGCGCTTTCCAGTAGTTCCATTCCCTCCTGTCTGACCATGTCCAGTAGGTGATTCTGGGGGATAGTTGCTCTGCCCCATGGCAATTACAGCATGGGGTTCTGCAGGGCTCAGTGTATATCCCATGCTGTTCAATACCTACATGAAATCGCTAGGAGGGGTGATCAGGAGGCTTGGGCTGCGGTTTCAGCAGTATTCTGACGATACTCGGTTCTGTCTCTTGTTTACGTCTCATGCAGGTGAGGCAGTCTGTGCTGAACTTGTGCTTGAGCTTGATAATGAACTGGATGAGAGCCATTAAACTGACACTCAGTCCAGACAGGGTAGAAGTGCTGCTGCTACATGGTTTGTCTGGCAGGTTGGCGGGCCGTTACCCTGTCCTGGACAGGCTTACACTCTGCCTAAAGGACAGGTCCCCAGCTTGGGGGGGGTCCTGCACCCAGGCCTATCACGAGGAGCTCAGGTGGACTCGGTGGCCAAGGCCCCTTTCTTCAGCTGTGGCAAAGACACCAACTTTGCCCCTACCTGGGCAGACAGAGCCTGGCCACAGTCACACCTGCACTGGTAACATCCGGACTGCATTACTGTAGTGTGCTGTATGTGGGGCTGGGAAGACAGTCTGGCAAGTCTAACTGGTCCAGAATTGGGCCACACGGTTAGTAGCAGGTGCCAGCTTGCAGGCCTATATAACACCCATTTATTTATTTATTTAAAACTTTTATGTGCTGTCACCACATGCCTCGGCATCTCGGGACGGCTTCCAACACGTACTATTAAAAACAATAAAGCAACAAATTCCATAAAACATTATAAAAACAAAAAAGACTGTTAATGATCAAATATTAATTTGTTAAAATAGCAATTAAATAAAAAGGTTAACATTTTTAATATACACTACATATATACGATTATATTTTATATATACAAATTTATATACACTACAGTGGTTACCAAGCCAGGGCCCAATTTAAAGTGCTTGTTTAAACAAAACCTTAAATCGCTTAGGACCTGGCTACCCAAAGGACCACCTTTTCCCATAAATATCTACCCGCCCATTAGGATCAGGGCAGGGGGTCCTTCTGAGATAGCCATCCTTCAAGGAGGTGAGGAGGATACAACCAGAAAAAGGACCTTCTCAGTGGCTGCCCTTCATCTGTGGAATAGGCTCCCCAGAGAAATTCAGTTGAGGCCAACATTGTTCTCATTTTGGTGCCAGGCAAAAACATTCCTCATGTCCAGATGTTTTAATAACTTATTCAAATTGATATGTTAATCTGTTGTGGTTGTCCTGCTCACTTGATATAGTTTTAATGGCCTATTGTTATATTGTTCCTGTTCTATATAAGGGAATTTGTTGTTTTTAGTAGTTTTTAATATCTGTAACGTTGACTGGTGACTGTAAACCACTTAGAGACTCCTTTAGGATTAGTGAGCAGCATATAAATTTATAAATAAATCATAAATAAAATATCTTGGAAGTCAACCCCTTTACGTAGGTATGGGAGAGTTGGTGTGTTTTTGGGAAAACAATTATGTTTAATTTTTGTTTGCAACCTTTGTAATCAACACAAAAGTACCACAGTACAAAGTTTTACCTCGTATGCCCAATTGCAGTCCATTCCCGGGTTGCAAAGTACTCTTACTTAGAAACCAACTGCCATAAAGTCTATTAATTTTTTTAAAAATACTGTGAAAAGTTGTCACCACTATAGAGAGAGAGAGAGAGAGGAAGTGCAAGGAGAGAGAAGGAGGACCTTCAAAATATCACCATAGAGAGAAAGTAAGTGAAAAGGAAGAGAGGAAACTCTTTCAGGGATTTCCTTGCTGCAAAGAAAAGGCACTGGTGAGTTTGCAAGGCAAAGACCTAGAGACATCCATGGTCTTTCTATTTTCACGGGGGTCCTGCACCCCAGCCCTGCAAATGTGAAGTGCCACTATCAATATATTCATTTAAAGCTTTTATAAACTGTTTAACAAAAACCCTCATAATGATGTACAAGATAAAAACCATATTAAAACCAATCACAGTATACATATTACATATCTGTAGATGGGTTGACTGCCTGTATTAGAAATGGGTGCAGACAGATTGGTTTATAGTTCACGTTGGTGGAAATGCCCAACTGTACAGAAATTCTAAAAGATGGTTGATCTTACTGCCCAGTTTTTCTCCACTGTAGAAGTAACACCTGAAATGATGCTTCTTCATCATTTTGTTACTATGCCTTGGACTCCTTCCTAGAGACTTTAAGCAATTCTATATCGCAGCAAAGCTGAAGCTAACACCTGATTGGAAGCGTCCCAAACAACCTTCCAAAACCTTCTGGGAGAGCATGGTTGGGTACTCAATTACAAACATACTTGGCAAGTTTGAGAAGCAAGCAGGCCTGATTTTGAAGAGGTTTTCATTCCAGGGTTTCTTTTTTCTCCTACATGGAAGCTCTTCAAGCTTCTGATCACATTCCAACCAAATACAGATGGATTTTTTTTGTTACATTGATTTGGCTGCATGAGTTACATATACTATAGGAACATAAAAAGCTTCCTTATACTGAGTTCAGATCATAGGTCCATCTCACCTAGTATTTTGAGCTGTTTTTCCCAGCCTGACCCAAAAGAGAGTGGGGGCTGAACTGGGACCCTCAGCATGCCAAGTACTTGCTCTCCAGCTGAGCTGTTCGTCTCCAGAGCTATGGCTCCCCACACTGTTCACTGCTGGTGAGCTTTTTGCTTTTGTTCTACCTTTCCTATTAGCTTACCCATAATACACTAAAGGCCGAAATCACTGAGTTTCTTTTATAATCTTGTTATATCATTCTGTGTGTTCTTCCTTTATGCTGTCTGTATCCATAGCTTTATTTCAAAGTATGATTCTTTGATTAAAAAGTGGCACCAACTTGGGAAAAGTTCTCTTAGAAGTTATGGTTGCTGCTCCAATAGTAATCAGCAGTTTGCATCCCCTTGCCAAGCCACCTTAATACCAGCAATGGAAATTGGAATAATAAGATTTCTTATTGAGCTCAAGTAGTGTTACAGTTAGGTCCCCCTCTGCCTTACATATCATTCAAGTCTATAAACTTGTAATTTTATGTAATCTTCTTATCCTGACAATGAATTTCTTTTTGTGTTCACAGTTCAGCATTTCTCATGATTACCCTTCTAAAAAATACAAAAAAGCTTAACTTCAAATGGCACGCATAATTGAGCAGGGTATGAGTTCTGTAGACATCAGGCATTAGTTTAACATCCAGTTCTAGTTTGCTTTTTGATGAGCAGCTGATTTCACTTTCCGCTGTGATATAATATTGCAGGATACTTTTTTGCTTTGTTTTCCCTTGTTTCTGAATTCATATTAATAATTTCCAGTTGCTTGCTCCTTTTATTTTCTTTGGATGCTTCAGCTTATAGCTATGAGAACACTCAGGATGCGATTTTAATTACTGGTTTCTTAAAATTCCAGTTCCATTTTTCTATAAGGCAGAGAAAGAAAAATTGATTTATTGCATTATTAGCATTTCAGTATAAGCTACAATATTGCCACTACTGATTCTTAATAATAAATGTCAAAAATACGTACTAGATAGTGGAGTGTGTCCTTTCCTTCACAGTCAGTGTTAGTACATAGGCAGCTAGTTTATACTCGGCCAAATTGGTTTAATTTAGACCCATGCTGCCTTTTCCAAACCTAGTGTTCTGGTGTACAGCTTTCATAAACCCCAGACAGCGCAACTGCTAGTCACTACTGTTGGGAAGACTGGCCTTCTCTGATAGTACCTGAGGTGGTTTAACTAGAAATGCCAGAGACTGCGCCTGGAGTTTTATGTTTACTCAAGGTACTATCAGACTGGATGGGGTCAGACTGGATGGACTGGGACCCCTTCTGGCTTGCTCTATGTTTCTGTGTTTACTACCACTGAGCAATTAGCTCCATCCCAAAGTTATGTTTCCTTTCCTTGTTCAGGAAAATAGTTCAAGGAGGCAGTATGGTTTTGGGATCCGATTCATGTCTCATAGCTTGCAACACCTTTGACCAACTTTTTGGCACTTAAGTGGGTATCCACTGATAAAAATAATAGTTAATTGTATTTTAGTTTAGCAACCTTCTGCATCACTTTACTTGTTTTTTAAATTATTGTTATTTATTTGTATATCCTGCAAGCAACCCAAGGTGGCTCACATAATTCCTTTCCTCCTTGTTATCTTATCCTCCCAAAAATAACTGAACTTGGTTAGGCTGCGAATTAGTGACTGGCCCAAACTGACCCAGTGAGCCTCATGGCCAGGTGGGGACTTCGTGACTGCTGGATTTGGTGAGTCCCAGTCCAGCAGTCTAACCACTGCATCACACTAACTGTGTCATTGTAAGGATTGATATACAGAAACTAGTACTATTAGCTTTGCAAGGGTTTTTAAAGCCTAGGAGTAAGGGAGGAATTCCTAGAGAAGGACTTGTAGTATTTTCCATTGCTCATGCAAAATCAAATTCTTCTTAAATAGGAAGCAAGAATTTACACTCTTGGTAGCACAACCACTTTGCTACTGTTCATCTCAAAAAACTCCAAAAAAAAAAAAAGCAACAGCAATGGAAATTGAGTGAGTGAGTGAGTGAGTGAGTGAGTGAGTGAGTGAGTGATTTATTTATTTATTTATTTATTTATTTATTTATTTAGAAAATTTCTATGCCACCCCATTTGCCAAAGCCTCGGGGCGGCTCACAAAGTATCCTTTCATATCTCTAGAGAGGGCTTCTCTCAGGATATCATTCATACACAGTAAATAGAATTGCACCAACAAAACAATATGGTTGCATTAAATCATCACTGTACTGTAAATACTGTACATTCCTCCGCTCAGACAATATTCCTGGAATTTACAGCAATGCACACAGAAATTTGCCTTTGGTGCAGCTATTAGTTGAGGGTAGCTACAGGCTGTATTTGCTTTGGAGCACAGATTTTTTAATTTAACTTGCAGGAGACTTAAACTATTTATCACTTGGTTTTGTTAATAAATTTCAAGTGCACAGGGGAGCCTTGTAGGCCTTAAAATAATGGTTTCTTTATTATTTTGGTGTTGATCTAGCACTACTACTAAAAACATTCGTACTCCATCTTCCAACTGTTTTGTCAACCCAACATTTCAGGGATGTGGCGTCTGAATCAGACAACAACATCAGGCAGATAAATCAAGAGGCGGCCCACCGAAGGTTTCGCTCTAGGAGACACATTAGTGAGGATTTGGATCCAGAGCCTTTGGAAGCTGGAGAAGCACCTGAAGTATGTGCAGGACTTGATACAAATGTTTTTGTGTTTCTCTAAGTGATTTTACAGAGCGTCGCTTTAAAATGGCTTAGTCATTTTTATTTAAAGCTTCCAGATTAAAGTTTTCCGGCAAGATGGGTATTAAAGGCATGATTAAAATATACAGTTCAAGAGATTTAAAGAAAACGTGCACACCTACCTTTTCAGCCTTGTTGTTGTCTTTGTTAATAATAATTTCTTTCCTCCCAGGTGACCTTCTTTGATGAGCTAAATAAGACTTAATGGGCATTGTTTGCCAATTTACATATTTGAAGTAATTTTATGCATATTTACTTTGGAATGAACCTTAGTGAACCTAGTGAGACTTAATTCTGAGTGAGATTGGATTTGACTTTTAAGCTGCTTAATTTGTAATGATAGATTCTGGATAAAGCCTCCCCGAGGCTCATGCGATGGGGCGGTATAAGTTGTTTAAATAAATAAATAAAATAAACTTTTAAAATCTTCTTACAAACATAAACTAGTTGTTTTGAATGTAGATGCATCAGCATTGAATATTAGAAATTATAAATATCCCAACCATGATATAATTATGACCATCTTGCTTTTTTGACTTGTTTGGGCAGAAGGAGTAAATGCTGCTACCATTCACTGCGTCAACTGATTTATGCTCTTTACAAGTCAGTCGAACAGCCTCAGTTGCAGCTGTTTGGTTATTTTTTACTTGATTTGAGAATGTTTGAAAAGTTGGTAATTTTTAAAAATATGTTATGTTGATACCCTGATGCTGGGAACGATTGAAGGCAAAAGGAGAAGTGGACGGCAGAGGTTGAGGTGGCTAGATGGGGTCACTGGAGAGATGGGTGTGGGTGTACTCCAGGGGGCAGTGGAGGACAGGAGAGCCTGGAGGAATGTTGTCCATGTTGTCATGATGGGTCAGGCATGACTTTGTGACTAAACCAAAAAAAGGCCAACGAGCTATTGTACCATTTGACAACTAAAATCAGAAGAAGGGCTGAGGTTAGGCGGGCTTGCAGCACTTTTTTTGGTCCCTAAAAGTGTGTGTTGCCTGGGAAACTGCACATCCTCACCTTCAAAAGCAAGCAACAAGCCACTTCTTCAGTGATCCTCAACCTAATCAGCACCCATACCTGCCTAGGTTTCCACACAGGAACAGGAGGAACACGGATGCCTCCTGCAGCAGTGCCTCCATTCTCTTTTAATGAAATCAGTGCTGCGGGGCACCATCCCAAAATTTCATCTTCACTGTCGCTACTATTCAGCAGCTTCAGCTATATGAACTCCATGGTACAGAATGCTTAGAGCAAGGGTGATTACCAGGTGCAAATCATTTTGTGGGGAGAGTCAAAAAGTGTACATTAGTTTTCCAAGTTTACTTGATAAGCAGCTCAGCTGAGACTGTATGCATTGTTTGAAGTAATTGTGTTGGGATTTATGGCAGGAGAGGATGCCTTCTTGCATAATTACTGTAGGCCCTTTCCTTTTCATCAGCCTTGGGAAACCATTTCAGAAGAAGTAAACGCAAGTGGCGATTCCCTAAGCCTGTCCTTGCCACCCCCACCAGCCTCGCCCATCTCTCGGACCAGCCCCCAGGAGCTCTCAGATGAACTGAACAGGAGATTTCAGATCACTCCCGATTCCAATGGGGAACAACTCTCTTCTGTGATTGTAAGTAACCTCAACCCAAAGTCTGTTGCTGTCCTTCTGAGCACAGGTGTTCTAGTTGCTGAAGATTTTACAAAAAGTTTGGAATGTTTTTGTCCTCGGATCTTAAGAAGATCAGTTTTCAGCTTATTTGTGAGCATCTTCTTAAATGTGAGTGGATTTTAAAGAATGTTGCTGTTCATGTGCAAAGGGCATGCCTTTTTAAAGCTAAAAGTCAGAAAATACTTGAGCCAATCTAAAGCTCTGCAGGATGCTTTGATACCCACATGGCTTTCCCATTTCTTCCAGAGTCAGTGCACCAGCAGTGTTCTATGCAAAAAAAAAAAAAAAACCCAAACCCTTCTGAATGTGTTAATGTAGCATGCAAGTATGTGTGCACCTCTTTTTTGAAAATTAATTTTTAATTGAAATTATTGTACTGTATATTGAGTTCATAATGCTGTATGTGCCTCCTTGCCTGCAAGTCCCACTGAATTCAGTTAAAATAGCTGCAATTCAGCTGCTGGGATCCTAAGCATGCAAGCTCGGACAGCTTTGGAAGGTAGGGCCGTAACGCAGTAGTAAGGCATGCCTTTAGCATATATAGAGGGTCCCAGGTTCTCTCATTGGCATCACCTGGCACTCCTCTCTAGAATCCCAGGGAGCCATCACCTATCATAATGTGGGACTAGAGGGACCACTGGCCTTAATCTGTGTAAGGCAACCCTGCATTCCTAAATAGCTCCTCTCACTGAAGCACCTGTATTTATTTCTGAGTAAATATATTTATAGTTGTTCTGCATTTTACTATTCTTTGGTAAGTTTTATTTTGAAGAAATAACATTTATGCATAACTTTTTCCCCACTAAATGCCTGCAGGGATAGTGGAATTTTTTTGAATACTTCATTGAGATAAATATCTAAAGTGTTTGGGTAGAAACTTCCTCCTTTAAAGCCAAGTAATAGCAGATAGCCATGTAAAAGATTATTTTTAACAATAGGCCTGCACAGGCATTTTAACAGATCATATTTGCATATATGGATATAGCTGAACTCTGTGGGGTCAAATATTCAGAGAATATAACTGAATAATGTGGGATAAAATCTGATTAATTGGAAGCAATCTGCCAGTTTGCTAAGGGCTTTCTGCATTTAATGTGCTATGATGAATATCACCAGACTAATCATAATGAGCTGGGATAAGGGTACTGCTAGGATATTTTAATTGAATTAAATGAAACTACTGTAAACATTGAATGGTACATAGGAAACGAAGCATGCCACATTTTCATGGGACACCTTATCTGCTTTCCTTTTGCTGCTTTGAAGATAAGGAACCTAAATAAGGAAAGATTCTTATTAAAGCATGTCCTTAAAATATTCCACAAATATGCATATTATGCCCTGAGACAAATAAAGATTTAGATTACTTGAAAGTTGGTGGATGATGGAGGTCTGTTTAAATGACCATTCCCAGGAATGAATCTATGAAGAGGCAGTTCAGAGAGTTCTATTCATATAACTGTCACAGAAAATGCTTTTACTGAATTATTATGGATATCGGCAAAGATGTCCGCAGTGAATCATCTGTGCCGATGATTCTGTAGGTTCACAGAATGTCGCTTCTTACAGGGCCGCTGTGGCAGTAGCAGGTTTGCCTGAAATGTGTGAATCATTTACAGGCTGTTCTCAAGATCAGGTCTAATTCTGTGGATGTTCTACTGGAGTCGAGGCAGGATGTGATAAGCATCTCATGCAATTTGCTATCATTCATGCAGGTTGAGTAATTTGGTTCTCACATGGATCTGATAACTCTGTCAAAATCACTTAATAGCTTTTTACTGACACAGGAACTAATGATATTCACAAGTAGTATGAGAATGAACCTTCTCTAAAACATACAGATAAAATAAATTTCAGTCTGGCCTTCTATGAGAGTCTCTTATATGGCAGTTATACTACTGGCAATTATATTGCTCCAGTGAAATTTTTCCATGGATCAGCAGAAGCATTGGCAGCATCCTTCCTCCCCAGTGCAGAGTTCTGGTTGTTCTGAAACAGTAGTCATACTTGTAGTATTTGTACAGGGTGTTTCATAAAGTATGCAGTTTTTAAAAATGCAATAAATCAGCCAAAACTGAAGCAAAATTCAAAATTTTTATTTAATTTCATTCAACATATACTTCGATTTAATAATGAAAAATGATATCGAGCATATGTCCACCTCCACTTTCTCTGCAGGCAGTCATCCGATCGTTGAAATTAACGATAACTCTTTCACAGACGTCCCTGTTGATTTCGCCAATTACCCATATGGTTTCGACCGGGCGATTTTCTGGTTGCAACTGACCCGGATTCTTCGAATTTCTGTACTAACCTCAAAATTGCTGTTGCGGGAGGGGCATTGTCACGTCCAAAGATGGCGCGAAGTTTACAGACAGTCTCTGCGTAGCACTCCCCGTTTTTGTAATGAGTTTTCACAATAAGAATGCGTTGCTCGATACTGAACCGCTCCATGGCTACTAAATGGAAAAACGACGAATGGTCTTCTAATCGGAGTGATAATAGATAACGCAAATGATAGGAACAGTGCTGACAATCTTCAAACAAAAACTGCGCAATTCAAAAACTGCGTACTTTATGAAACTCCCTGTCTAATGCACTTTCCACAACACATTGTGCTCAAAACAGAATAATTACAATACAGTATTAACTGAATTACACCTAATTCAAAACTTAAATGATTACAGAAGAGATCAAGTTAGCAGTATCCAGTACCAGTAACGTATTTACATTAAACAATTCCCCGAACAGTTGATTTTTAGTGAACTAAGCAATAAACTTGTCCACCTGAAATTCACAGCTAAATAAATAAAAGGAAAAGAGATGGGGCAGTAGAGCATTTGTTTTCCTCCAGCGTGTGTCATTTTTGTGGGGAATCAGCTGGGTGGGGGTGAGTTGTGCCTATTTTGGTTGGCTTCAGAACTTTCTGCATCTGGTGTGAATTCCTGTGTGAATGCAGGCATTTGATATGCATTGGCTGCAAGTCAAATGCCTGTTCTAAGAAAAGGGGAAATGCTGATGCTAGGAAGGGAATACAGATTGGCATGAAAAATTTATTTCTAGAGTATTGATTTTTTCCCTTGTAAAGTTTCTATAGTACAATAACATTAAAAAAGAACCACATCATTTTCAGCAGTCTTGCTGAAATGCACCTTTATTTAAGAAGTTCATAAATGTATAAATTATTTCTCTGAGCACACCTTGAGACAACCAATTTTGAACCTTGTAAGCCATCGAGCAACTTTTTAAATAATGGACGGCATAGAAAAACTTTAAATAATAAATACATAAACCTGTGTTAGTTTACTCAAGTGAGAAAATAACAAGATCTGGGGATGAAGATTTCCCAGTTGTGAAATATTCCAGAAAGATTTCTGTCAGCATAGCTTGCAAGGCATGTCCTCTGCCATTACAAAAACGGAAGAGTCCTGATGTATGGGATTCCATCACTGGGTCAGTGCCATATTACATGGATGAGCTCTTGGAAGAGCCATCTTGAGATATCCTTCCTAAAGATGGATAATATTTTCCTCCATGTAAAGAAAGCAGCAGCAGCACTGCCAAATTAATGCACTGAGAAGATCACTGCCTTGCCAAAGGAAAAAGGCCTACATAACTTCAGGAGGCCGCTCTGATGACACAGCCATTAAGCATTCCGCAGACAACATCAGATACTGTTTTACCCACTGCTTCCTGGGTTTCATACCAAATGGCTTTCCCTGTGGTTTCCACCCTCCTGCTAGAAAGGGCAGACATATATGTGGTCTAGAAATATAATACCTCGAAGTTACCACTCGCTTGACCTTTTTAACAACGAAGTTACCCTAGGTCACCAGCATGAAGTAGGGTCCAGTCATCTTCAGCCAACTTGACTAATGGTCAGGAGTACCAGGAATTGTAGTCCAATAATACTTTGGGAGCTATGGTTGGAAAACCCTGCATCCAAGAATCAATCTGACAAATGTTGCACATAAGGTAAAATGAAACTTCCCTGACGATGCAGAATCGATAGTCTCCAAATTGTTGCCAAGAATGGAAAGAGAGATTCTTTTAGGATTTGCATAGCAAAGGAAAAATCAAAGGGAGTAAGGGTTAGAGCCAGCAAACAAGGAAACATGTTGTTGTTGTTGTTTTCACAAGGGTAAATAAATACTTATCACATCTGGACCTCTGTAAGTTCCTATACTCCTTGCTTGAAGGGATATTGTTGCCATATCAGTCAAAGAAAAAACTGTTTGCTATATCCAACATAACATGTGTATTTACTCTCATGCAACCGGACTTCATCTCCCCCTTTGCACCTCTACCCCTGAAGTCTGCTCTGGAGCTTACCCCAGGGGAACAGGAATCAATTTAGCCAATCCAGTCTGTTCCTCTAACACATGGACACTCTTGGGAGCAGCCTTTGCTAGTAGCAGTGGGCATTCAGTGCTTTGCTAGTAGCAGTGGGCAAGTCAGATTAATAATAGCTCCATTTCTGAAGTTGTTTAGCAAAAGGCACTTTGGTGGAGGAGATTTTGATTCTGGCAATCAGATAAAGAGGGTGGAAGAAGAGCGAATAAAATGCCAAAAAGGAAATCAGACTTACTCTGGTTTTAAATGCAGTGTGAATCTAATAATTTGCTGTGTTTCCTTTCCTTCAGCAAAGAGATCCTTCAGCAAGGTTAAGATCTTGCAGCGTGACTGATGCAGTTGCTGAACAGTCCCATTTATCACTAGTAAGTACAGCATTTATAGTTCTTGTTTTTTACATCTTCCTCTTAAAAAATAAAAAGATATATCAACTTTACTTCGATGTCTTCCAACCTGTGGAATCCTCTCCTGTCAGGATTCTTTAAATTAGAATCCCACTGATATTTTGGCTAATGCAAAGTTTGCCAGTGCAAAGAGCCAAGATGGGAATAGACAACCTAGTGACATCTAGATGTTTTGGACTGCAACTCCCATAATTCCTGACCCTTGGCCATATTGGTTGGACTGATGGAGTTGTAGTCTAAACATCCTGAGGGGAGATGGTTGTCTGTCCCTGGTCTTAGCCTTGGAATGGGAATGTTCTAGGTACAGGCTGTAGAAGATGCAGAAAACCATAATGCTATGGCAACAGTTTGTCCTCATGATCTCAGGCTGCCGGGAAGTTGTAGAGATCAAGGTTTGGGATTGAAGTTTCCCCAGTGTGCATTTAGATGTGTGTGTTATAATGGGTGGCTGTGTAATGCGTGCAAGTTCTGTAAAGACTGGGTGCATTCATGGAAGTATCTAGATGAGTCAAAGATGTGGGTGAAAGAGGCATTATTTAAATAAAATTCAGGGCTCTCTGGATTAGTGATTCACAGGCCAATTTTATGCATATCTACTCAGAGTTAGTGTTCCACAGAGTTCAACGGGACTTCTTGTAAATGAATTTAAGAGAGCAAGCTAAAGCTGAAGTCTTATGCATACTTACCCAGGTGCACGTCTTGCTGAAATCAGTGAGACTTACTTTCTGAGTAAACATGTGTACAGTTGTGGTCTTAAGTGTGTATGGGAAGGTTAAACTCATAAAGAATCAATAATGATGTATTTAGCAATTATCGTGATTTTAATGCCATTAAGTGGAGCAATTATTTTCTTAATATATGAAGAAACTATATGGTGGGTAAACAGGAAAGGGGGCCAAAGTTTCCTATGAAAATTTCTATCCATTTTTGCTTTACAAGCTAACACTGTTTCTGCACTGTCATTGCTTCTATTCAACATGTTCCCTATTTCTAGATGCATTTTATTTTGAAATACATTTCGGAACTAACAGCTATATTGCAAAAATCATAGAAGTGCAACATCTGAGACATAATTGTATTCAGATTTGTACATCAACTCAAGAGCTACAGATCAGGCAGATTTACTTGGAATTGTGGCCCAAACCAAATTCTTGACCATCCTTACTTCCAGATAAGCATGCGTAGAACTGTACTACGTACCAGTTTCGGATGCGTCTAAGTTTACTGTCTAGATTATGGACCTTTTTAAAAAAAACAGGTCTTCCATTAGAAACCACATAAAATGGCTAATCCTGCCCCTCCTGGAGAACTCTCTTCAGCTATTCTCGTGTATTAGAAATGGCTAGTTTGCATGAGAACGCATCGAGAATGGTTTGACACTAGTTTGTTCTATGTGGCAGATTGCATGAGCAAGAATGAATTCTTAACTTGATTTTTCCTCCTTTTAAATGTCAGTTAAACTGAACACTGTCACAATCAAGAAAACAAAATAATTTTTAAAGTATTATCTGGTGGCTGGAAACTACTCCATGTGATCAAACTTCAAATATACCTTGCAGCACCTTTTCTTCCTTTAGCTGTTAAACTAATGTACACACATCTTTCCTCTTCTTTCCTGGCAGAGCAGTATAATTAACAGATGATTGTGAAGATCAGCTTCTTTTCCAGCCTGACTTTTCTCAATCCTTTGCGCTCACTGGGTCCAAAAAAGCTGTTTCATTTAATGTCAAACCATCTCAGATTCCTGTCTTAGAATATTTCTTTGTATTCTGTCTGAAGAAAAGTAATAAATTGAATTACAGAGATGTTTAATACATGCCCTTACTGCTTCATGCCTGTGAGTGCTTTGGATGGTGGTGTACATACCGCTATGCTGATGTAACATCAGATAATCACGTAACATTTATTCTGGCATTGCTGTAGTAGGATGCTACCGCCTCCAGTAGAAATATGCATAATGAACTATTTAGGATCAAGCTGCTGGTTATTTCTGACTAGTGTCTCATCTGTACTGTAATATGTAATGCATACTTCATGATGACTTATATCTTCTTTCCTTCTTTATGAAGTCGAGTCAGTACTTTACCCAAATATGAAAAGGTGGGTTTTATTTCTTCCTTTTCCTGAAGATAAGCTCATAATCTGTGACTTCCATTCCTGATCAACCCCTTAACTGTAACAATTATTACTATTTGACAGCAAAGCGGCCCATCTAGGAGAATTCGCTCTTCAACTGTCACTGGTGGTGAAGAATCAACGGTAATACTGTCTTTATCAAGCCAAATATATCCTCATCTATCAATCCAGTCTCTTCCCTTTTATTTTTTCTTCATTTGTTTTCTCTTCAGAGTGTCATCTTCTTAGATCTTCTGCCTTCAGTTCATTTTTGGAAAATTACTTTGTATGTAATCCTTTGGCTACAGCGAGCACAGATGTCTTTTCTCCATGTTCAGCCTTGGGTGTAAATAACTTGCCTTTTGCCAGTACTCCCAATTGCATGTTGCGGTTGCTGGGAAAAACGATTTCCCTCCCAGTCTTCAGTTCATCTAACACTTGTCACAGAACTGACCTGGACACCAATTTGTATTTCCCATGCTATTACTTATGACAAGAATCATCATTCTTCTCTTCCCCACCACCCCGCCAATTTTGGATCTGCCAATTTTTAATTTTTATTAAAATGTAACTTTAGATCTTATAAGGCTGCTTCTCAACTTCTTCTCATACCTTATATATATGTACCTTATTTCCCCAAGGCAAATAATTGTAATAACTTGGTCTTCAGTTTATTGCGATATGCCTGTTTGAGAGAGGAAAGTGTAGGCCAATCAACTCATGCCATCACTCCTGAAGACACCTTCAGTCACCCTGAGAGAACTATATTCTGGTGTTCCTTTTGGGAGTGTGTTTTTTGACAATTTTTGTTTTGAGAATTTAAAAATTGTAAGCCACCTCGGCATACCAATGGGTCAAATTTAAATTAATAATTAATAAATAAAGTGATTGGAAAATCCAGAGGAAGAGATGCAGGCAGAATCCAACTGCAGCTAGTAGGCAGGAATCATGTATGACTACTAACAGTTCCAGTTCATGTATATTTTGTATTCATTTTTAATTGTTAGGGCCTTCTTTAAGGGTGAGAACTGTCTAGAGCAGGGGTCGGCAACCTTAAACACTCAAAAGAGCCATTTGGACCTGTTTCCCACAGAAAAGAAAACACTGGGAGCCACAAAACCCTTTTGACATCTAAAATGAAGATAACACTGCATATATTGTTTTTTACCTTAAAAAACCCAGACTGGTAAACCAGTCTCGTTAGCAGTGAAAGCAAATGAATCTGTCCACGTACCATTAAACGTTCTGTTTTCTTCTAAAACTTTTCTTTTCTTGGATTTATCCATGGTTGGCCTACTGGGGGTCGAAAAGCTCAATGAATCGCGTGCTGGTGGGTGTCACACATTGGCGGTTGTGACGCATATTTTGAGTGACAGGGAGCTGCAGCAAAGGGATGAAAGAGCCACATGCGGCTCCGGAGCCGCGGGTTGCCACCCCCTGGTCTAGAGTGAAGAATATCAAACTGAAAGAGGTGTGTACTGAGTCCCAGCATTCAAATAAGGGAATAACAGTCATTCCCTGAGTCGTGGGATCCTCCTGCCCCTGTAAACAATGCAAACGTACAGTTTCCTTAAAAGACAATTTCTTCAGAAACACTGTCTTGGGTGCAAGACCATGAGGAGAGACTTTCTTAAGAATCTAGAAGGTCTTTGGTTACTCTGTTTACTAGAAAACTTTGTGGATGTCTAGAGAACCCTTTCAGAGATGCCGAAAAGTGTTGGGTAGGATTTGTTATTTGTATCGGAACCCATAGTAGCTTCCTGATTAACAGTTCTTCCTTTCCACAGTATCCTCTAAATACATTCTGCGTAAGACTTAACAAATGGACTGGTTCCAAATTAAGGCTCTCTGGTGGAATCCTGATCAGCTGTAGGACCACTTCCACTTTTTTTTTCTACCAGGACATTAGGCTAATTTATGAGGAGGACAGCAGAGGTGCTTTTCCTGTGAGTGCCAGCCAGATACCATTGTAACTATACACATATCACTCGCAGTACCATGGGGCAATTGTACACAGATTGTCCCGGGGTGTTGTGAGTAACTAGGATGGTGACTGCCCACTCTTGATTGGAATGTCAGAAAACAGAGTGCAGGGCAGCGTGGCCAGCAGTGGTGACTCCTGGGCACCCATCCAAGGATGTCTCCATGCTGATGCTGGATTTTTACTGTACTGGAGATTTTAACTTGGTCTTTGCAATATGCGAATTTCAAGTTTCTTGAGCCACAGAGGCAGGTGCGTTTTCATCTCAGCTGCAAATAACATTTGCGTATTCTAAGCCTAGTTCCTTTAAAGAATGCTTTTTGAATTGGCAGTGCACTAAACGGAAAATGATGTGAAATCTATAGATGTTGTCAAACATTTTGTAATGAGACACTGTTGATTATAGATGAAGACGCTCTGAATTGCAAAAGCAAAATTCTAAGAAATTTAGGATATTGACACTTATGCATTCTTTAATGCATTGGCTTTTTCAAAATGAGATGCATTTGCTTATAAACCAGAGGAGAAGGGGAAATGAATAATGATAAAATGAACTAGGAGTAATATCTCAACCAATGCAATGTTTTAAGCAATTGTGGTGTTCTTATTTTGAATTCCTTTGCCTCATGTATTAAAAAAAAAGATGGAGCAATTAACTATTTCCATCATTTGAATAAAAGAGAAAGCCTTTATTGTCATTTTTATGCAGTTACAGTGTCTCATTCACTGACACACACACTGAGGCCTTATTAGCATTTTATACTGTTGATTTAGAACACAGGGTGAATGCAGACCTTTTTTTCTCCCAAAGATATATTGACTTGGTGGAAGCTGTGAATTGTGAGTCCAGGGGGGAATTAACACAAGATCGTGGATCAGTCAAGAATGGATTCATGAGCCAGTGCTCATGGGGCAAGACAGATAGATTGTTTTTTACAAAAATGGTGGTGAATCCAAGGATCTGCCCCAAATGTACCATATACCTTTATGCTACTGTTAAGATCTAATGATAAACTTGTAGTTACATTTGGTGAATTGATGGGAAAAGAAAAGAGGAAATCATAATTGCCCATTAACTATTTTTTTAAAAATTAAATCAGTGCAGACTACTTTGGAATAGTCAGGAACCTGGTCCAAACTGCTTTCTTTCATAGTAATCCCTCTGCCCAAAACCATAATTCGTGATCTTTTAACCAAATGCTTGTATTAACTGTAGCCATTTTCTTTTTAGCTTATGCTAGTTTACTTACCAAATTGGAGGGGTAGCACTAGAACTGTTATGATATAAAATTTCACAACTGTGAGCAGTTTTTTACAATCTGAAATTGTATGTAGACAACAACAGGTTCTTTGTGAGTACATTGCAGGCAGATTGAATATAAATGAATGTTCCTCACATTTGGTTAATACAATACAAAAAACACCAAAGATCAATGAGCACTGAGAAGAATTTAATTATATCACAGTGTCTGTTAAAACAGCATGTCCTATTAAGGCTGGCAAATTAATCCTACCTACCAGGGTAAGAAATATCAGTATTGCATCTAAACCCTTCCAGGAATGGATCAATGGGAAGAAATTAACTGTGCCAGCTTGGAGACTGCCATGTTTTCAGAGCCTTTGGTGGGGTGTTTCAGGGGAATAAGGAGTCATAGGAACCTGCTGATCTTGGCCACTCCCAGCATGCCCTATTCATGCCTCCACTGCCATTGGAACCCTACCAGTAGGTGAGCAAGAGAAGCTTTCTGCTCCTGTACCAGGGAAGACCTCCTTCTCTAGCTGGAGCAAGGACATCTGCAGACCTGTGGCAACTTAGCTGTGCTTCCAGGCCACAAATATATCTATCTATGAAGGACACTTGTAGCTCACAAAAACAGTGACATAAAGACTAGAATTACCAAGTTTAAAAATAATATCCAACATCTTAAAAACAATAATTAACATTGGAGCAGGAGACAATGCCCTTGACAAAGTAAAAGCAAGCAGTAAGAAAAACAAATAAAACCATAATTATACTAACAACAAGTACAAAATAAAAATGTCTTCACCTGGCAATGGAAGGTAAATGATGAGGGTTCTAGTTGTATCTCCTTAGAAGTACATTCCTAAGGCAAGGCACGATTTCTTGTGAGATACAAGAAAAAGCCCATTTCCTTGTTTTCTCCTCTACTTCATTTGGGTGATGGAGCTCACATAGAAGAGCATCAATGGAAGATCTTAATGTATCAGTAAGGATTCATGGAGACAGGCATTCCTTCAGATATCCTGGCCCTAAGCATAGTATTTGCCATGGACATAAATGTGGTATTAGATTTTCTCAAATCAGTGGTGATAATTTTAGAAGAGGCTGTGTATAAAAGTGAGATGCCACCAAATCAAGAAGTGTGTGTTGGCTCTCAAATGGATTTCACACAATCCTGCATGGTTTCATTTATAGACCTGGTATTGCTGAGCAGCCCCTTTCTGGTTTTTCATATTTTGTTTGTTCCTAACGTGCAATCATCTTCAATTGTGTTTTGGGATAACTCCCATCTTTTACAGAGAAAGAAGTATCCTTACTACTTCTTCGTCTTTTAAACCGTTTTTCAGAAAAGTTTCCAGATTTTCAGACCCATAATTCTTGTTGAAAGTTTTCCAGCAATCACATAAATCACATTCATCATACATGATGAATTCTTGTTTCAAATGCTTGAGGGCATTTGTATTCTGCCACATAAAGAACACACACTTTAATAATTCAATATTGTGGAGCAGCTTCCTGAACCTGAAACCTCTGGAAAAATCATAGCCATGCAGACACTTTAAAAAGATTAAAAGCAAGACAACATTTAAAATCAGGAAAGAAATCAGTTTGCTCTCCAGCATGATATGCTGCTTCTGAAGCATATTGTGCCATCATAGGAGTAGCAGCATGATTAGCAAGTAGCAGTGTTTTTCCTTATTTTGCAGTATTTAAAATGCTGGTCCAGCCAGGGCACCTCATTTTAGATTCAGTGCCTAGCCCCTGAGCATTTTAGTTATTTCTAAGCTTAGTATGCAAACACAGAGAGCAAATGTTTCAACTAGAGAACCCCAGGCTGTCAAGCCCGAGGAGCCTGGTCCAGTCAAGGCATCTCATTTTAGATTCAAGGAGATTTTGGAAGAATAATAAACAGCTATGTAAAGATGAATGAACTGAATGAAATATGGATACAGAATATAAACAAGCAGACAAAGGCTTACACTGTCCTTATCTGTGATCATATTTGTTCCCCGAATAGGTCTGGGCATGTGATACATCAGTTTTTTTCTCCAGGCAGAGAACAAAAATAAGTACTTCTTGCCATGGATTTTATAAAGTTCCATTTCCCCACTGTTTCAGAGGCTGTCAATACTCATAGGGCCAAACCCTGCTTCCTGGGAAATGGATAAAGGACAAAGATGCTTTGGTAAAGCAAACAGTTTTGGTTCTCACAGCCATAAGCAGCTCTTATCTAAGGAACACACTTGGGGAAAGCCACTTCAAGGCAATTACCTCTGGACTGCTTCCTAGCGAACTGAAGGCCATATAGCTGTGACATGGCTCCAAAAAATTATCTTGGCTTTTGGACACTGGAAAAGTTCACTACACCACCTGTTGAATTACCATTCTTCCAGTAGAATCCACACAATAAACCCAGGCCGATAGTTATAGGGGCAGTATCCAGTGGTATCTCAGATACCAAAGTGGGGCTCAGTTATAGTTTCATCTTTCTACCTCTGAAAAAAGTGTAATTCATGAAAAAGTGCAAAGCTAGTGTGGTGTAGTAGATAAAGCATGTCTGACTTAAGACTTGAGGGAGCCCCAGGTTCAAATGCATACTTAGCATCAAAATTCCTTGCGTGACTTTGGACCAGTCATAATCTACCATTTTGTTCTCCTTGGAAACACAGTGTTAAAACAAATGAAATACTCAAATCTTTTGAAATATCATATGTAAACGACAGGGTTGACAACGTATCAAGAATCCAATAGAGACTGGTCATTAAACAATGTATTTGAATTCAGGGTTGTGCATCCTGCATTCCAGCAAGGCAGATGCTACCCACTAATCTTGTATGGTGGTCTGTAAAGGGATTGGGTTTTGCTGGCTGCTTGGGCTGTTTCAGCTAGGGAAATGGAAGCAAACATTACACACAATTCAAAGAAGGAAGAAGAGTAACAATTTGTTCTCCTTGTTCTTAATAGTTGTGTGTTTATTCTGTTCGGTCATTTTTTTTACTGTTGTATTATTCCTATTGACCATCTTCCAAAGAATAAATAAGATCTTCCGCAGGGATAGAATGAAAGGCATTTTTCTCTGCCTGGGCAAAACTCATAGACTCTCTTGATTTCGGTGTGTTGTTTATTTGTAACTTTACCAACCATGCTTTAGGATGGAACTGAATGATTATACGTCTGAAAGAGAGCTTGCTTGGGGGAAGGGGAAGGACTGTGCCAACTCACATCTCCTGCTTTTTCTGCTACAAATATTATTTGAGAGAAAAGTAACTGCTGCAAAGTAACGCTGTGGTAATTTCTTGCATAAACAGCCATCAGTGGCCTATGTACATACTACACCGGGCTTACCTTCAGGCTGGGAAGAAAGGAAAGATGCTAAGGGACGTACTTATTATGTCAATCATAACAATCGAACCACAACTTGGACTCGACCTATTGTGCAGGTATGGAACTTGGTATGCACTGAAAGCAACATAAAATTTAGAGTATGGAGTCATTTTCGTTACATGGTTGTACTAGGTTTCCAAATGAAAGACATGAATAAGGTAGGACAGTTTCTAGAGAAATAATTGCTTCTTACTGAAAAGGCATCTGTTTCAAAAGGCAGGATCAGTTCTTTTTAGTGCAAGCCAATGCAATTCACTGTACATCAAACTTCCAAAATTTGCATCATGATACACAACTACCTTGATCAGTTAAATATCCACATTCAAGGTAAGGAAAAATTTGGACAATATGAGATGTACTAACTCAGCCTTCCCCAACATAGCCAGCACATCTAGGAGGCACTGGTTTGGAGAAGCTTATGCTAACATAACTGGGTGAAGAAAAGCACAATTCTCTGTTCCACAGTTCTCTAAATGAAGTTCTTGTTGTCACTTGGCAGCAGATGAAATTACAGCTTTCACTGTGGGGCTGTTGCAGGTTATTGTTTATTATTATTGCTACTTCGAATGCAATTCTATGGGTTACACCCTTCATGCTTGCATTCCCCCAAGCTTGGAGGCTAAAGGCTTTCTATACAGAGTGGGAACAACAGTGGAGAGGTTTTTAAACTCCCTATACCCACAACTCTGCCTTTTAGCTAGACAGCAGTTTTCTGCTATCTAGTTCAGGCAGTTCAGAAGGGGAGGGAAAGGATACTGGATAAGTCAGAGCCTGGCCTGTACAGTCTCTCCACCTTTCCACTTCCCCAGAAGCCCCCTGCAGCCCTTCTCTGAAGCTGTGTTCCTGACCTCAGTGACACAGCCAATACGTTCCTTTCTGCACTGGCTGTGAGGTGAGGAGGGGAGCACAGAGTCCCATCCCCAGGGCTGACCCTTTATTTCTGATCTTCGATCTAGGAATCCAGAGCTCTTTGCCCCACCCCTGCCAACAATGTATGGGGGCCATAGGGTCACTCTCCTAGTCACCTTTCCCTTAGAACAGACCCAAGGTGACATACAACAAAATTAAAACATACAGGGCATAAATTAGCTAAAAACAACTTCCTTTAAAAATACAAAACATTTTAAAGCAGCTAAAATGTTTAAAGCACCCTAACCAAAACTACAGCCCATAATGCCGTTGTTAACTGCACTTAAACTGGCAGCCAGACCTGGGAATGCAGGCCCCCTTCATTTAGCTGCACATTTTGGCAGCATCAGTCCTAAACTTAATCAAGGCTAACTGGATTTCGCAGAACCCATTGTCCAAATCCATAGTTTGAAGTAGATCTCAGAACTTGATTCAAGGGGGGACTCCTGCTGAAATAATCAGCTCTCAACATCTGGGCTAATGAACTACTTAAGCTATATCGCTCAGATGCCAAGTAATCAAGCAAAATTGGCGAGATGTCTGCAGGAGAAGCAGCAGGCATGGACTGGCAAGCTAGACGCAGGTTGGGTGAGCAAGCAGGCGCGGGGGATCTGCCATGATTGAGGCGCCTAGTTAAGTGGCAGGCTGTCGACAGTCTCCAGTTCATACAGAGAGGACTGTTTCAAGCAGGAGGCTGTGAACGAGTCTCTAGGTAGTCAGGAGCCTCTGGCAGACCACAGCCGCTGTTAAAGCTGCTGCTGCTGCTGTCCGAGGAAAACCAAACCTTTTTCATCCTCACCACCATTTACTCATCCTCCAGCACTGCCAGGTTGCTCTGAGCAGTAGCTGAGAGGAAGAAGTTACTGGGCTTTTTTGGTATTTTCTGCTCCTGCACAATGCCTGGTGCTTTGGGAGAGGGAAAGGTGAAACAGCAATATGGAGAGAAGCCAGTTTTAAACTGACCATTCGCAAGGGGGAGCGGATCTTCAGCAGTTAGCCAGCCAATCAGAAATGGGGGATAATCATTGTTAAGTCTTAGTAGACACATTGCGGGAGAGATGGTGGAAGAAGCAAGCCAGTCGTGCTTATGTCACTGTCATTCAATAATACATGAGCTTGGCTGAGTATTACCATTGCAAAATTTTGGTGAAGGAGATAGGTTAATAAAAAGAGGAATCGATCTCTAGGCCTGACCTCCTGACACTTTGGTTTTTAGACAATTGTACATACTCTGTAACCTTCCCAAAGAATAGCTAAGAGGTTTGGGCCTTTTCTGCAGCACTCACATCCACGTAATTTGAGCACCGAATAAATCACCTTTCTAGTTGCTTCACTCAACATCATTTGATAAAATACTTGTAAAAATGCAGCCAAGTGTTTGTTGACTGTATGCCCCACAGATTGTTCTTTCTTGGTAGGATTGCATAATTGAAATCACTTATTTTTCACTGAATTGTACAGTGTGGAAATATTTTATCATAAAATAGATCAGCTTTCAGCAAGAAAGGTCATAACGTGTAGCTAACTTGTGTTTGCCTCTGACATAGCTTGCTGAAGATGGAGCATCTGGGTCAACATCAAACAGTAACAACCATCTGAGTGAGCCTCAGATAAGACGGCCTCGTAGCCTCAGTTCTCCCACAGTAACATTATCTGCACCACTTGAGGTGAGATTTTTCATGCTAAGCAAGGCTTGACTTTTTGTGGATTCCCATTCTTTCCATCTCATCTTTTCTCCTTCCCTTTGTTTCTGTCTTCCAGCCCACTTGTTCTTTTGCAGTAGCTCCTTTTGCCTCAAAAAAGTCATGTTTGCACCCATCAATTATTTCCCCCAAGCTGTTTTTATTTTATACCACTGCAGTTCATTTTTCCAACAAATTTTCATGCTTAACAATTTGAAAACGGTATCATTTTTCCTGTTCAGTATCTTGCACCATCCTCTGTTCATTCATGTCCCCATAGTAGATGTTGTTTCTATTATGACTTGAATTCACCTAAGATCATCACTTTAGTAGTATTCTTTGATTGTATATTTTAAAAATTCATCAGTTCCATGGTCACAACTTCAAGCTTAAATGTCTGGCATAGGTTTAAATGCCCTGATGCCAAAAGGGTAGAAAACCTATTCCAGTCTTCCCCAACCTGGGTGCTCTTCAGATGTAGTGAATGACAACTTCCATCATTTCCAGCCAATCATTTCCAGGTCATTTCCAATGACCAACATGGTCATTGCGCAGCAAAAAATTCTAATTTTACTTGTGTCTGAGCTGAGGGTAACTGACTTGGGCCTGGGATCGTGGGGTTGTGTTAGATAGCGCAATGCAGTCTGCAGCTGCTGTTAAAAAAGTGAATTGTATTAAGGAAGAGAATTGAAAATAAATTTGCCAGTATCATTATACATATGTATCTTTATGCAAAACAGTGTTGTGACCACACTTGGAATATTGTGTGCAGTTCTCATAAGCACATCTCAAAAAGCTTGGACAATGCATAGAAAGGACAACTAAAATGATCAAGGGGTTGGAGTAACTCTCATGGGAAAGATTGCAAAGTCCGGGACTAATTTGCTTAGGGAAAAGGAGAGGCAATGATAAAGGTGTATAAAATTATGTGTGGCGTAGAAGAAATGGACAGGGAAGGTGGTAGGGGTTATTCGATTAAGCTAAATGCTGGAGATTCAGGAAGATGAAATTGCATCTTCACCGAGTGTATTATCAAATTGTGGAATTCAGTACCACCAACCTGGATGGCCTTAAAGGGAGATTAAGCCCATTGATGAAGGATAAAGCCACCATCGGCTACATATTTCTTCCAGTATCAGAGGCAATGTACCCCAGTTGCTAGGGGCAGGAGGAAGTAGTTGCACTCACATCCTGCTCTGGGCTCTCTGTAGGCAGCTGGTTGGCCACTGTAAACAGAATGATGGATTGGATAGGCCTTTGGACTGATACAGCAGGACTACTCTTCTGTTCTTACTTTGTAATCTCTTGCTGCTACCTTTCACGCTCTGCTTCTTGTTTACAAAGAAGGCATCTATCGATTGCATTGATCTCATCCAAGTTGCCATATTTGCTCAAAAATGCTAGCTGCACTCAAGTGAAGAATGGCTGCTTCAGTATCCAAGCAAGTGACTCTGAGTGACTTTTAAAAATAGTTGTTGAAAGTGAACTTTACTTCTGTTTTCTCTCTCTCCCAGCTGGAAGTAGAGAAAGCTCTGCATACTAGTTTTTAATAATTTACAGTGCAGTCCTATACTGTACTTATCTTTTCAGAATGATTCTTACTCTTTCCTGTGGAACTTACTCCCAGGGAAGTGAATATAGGATTGCAGTCTTCATGTTTTAACGACACATGAGTTCATAATTACCGTGAATCTGATAGTTGAAATTGAAAGTGCATGAGGTCAGTTTCCAATGCATCAAATATCATAGCTAAGATTATGTTCATCAGTATGATAAATAGATAATAAATTAGTGTACAGTTTGAACTTAGTACAGCTCCCTCAATTTACCCTTTTAGTTAATTAGGCGGTGTTACCTAAATAGCTAGCAGCTTATTGGTTATATTTTAAACTTCCAAATATCCACTCAACTGCCATTGTTTTCATGATATAATTGTGTGTGGGTAGGTGTGAGGGAGGGAGTGTCCAGAGGACCATCTCGAAATGTTCAAGAATGTTCAGCTGCCTCCACAGATGCATTTGGAGGCCATGCCTGCTGTCTCTCTCCACATGTGCAATGAGGGCCATTGTATACTTCATGAATGTGCATGCAACACTCCTTCTCATGCATGCTGAGTGCTTAGCTGGTGTGAGACAGCATGTTGAGGAGTAGCCGGCAGGCTCCCATGCCCTCCGGCCCCACATTCCTTGAATGTATGTGAGAAGTCAGCCAAACTGCTCTCATGAGTCATCTCCAGGCAGTGGTGCCTGTCGGGTAGTAGTTGTGGTTGGTCTTATTTATAAATGAACCGGAAGTGCCAGCGTCCTCTCTCCCTCTGAGTTCTTTTGCAAGTTACTGTCCCCTGTGTGCATTATCACATTCACACAAACCCACACTCTGCAGTCTAGCTAAATGTCATCAGCCAATCCCCATCTTAAGTGCGTACCCTCAAACCAGGGCATGGCCTGAGGGCAGATGATGCAGCCATCTTGCTGAAGATGCGCAGGCCTGTATCTAGTCAGATGGGAAACTGCCTGGGATCCCTTTGCATGCCACCTCAAGGCCTATGGTGGGGGGAAGGGAGGATATGCGTAATAAATAAAAGAGCACAACTTTTTTTGCACTCTTACTATATATCATTCTCTGTGTGTGTTTGTGTCCTCTTCCCTCTTTATGGCTTACTAATCCCCTTCATCTTCAGTTTTCAATGTAAGTCGTTGCTTGTCTCTCTACTGTACTCCCTTCTGTAGTTCATATTTCTTCCCCAGGGCACAGGTGAGAGTTTTTGCAGTCCAGTGAAGTGCAACTTTGATTAGTCTACTGATTCCTGTGCTAGAATGAGAAGGAAGGGGAGAGCAATCTGGGCAGTCTCTCTTGGATTCCTTCCCCCCCTTAAAACATACTATTGCCATGCTTTTGTTTTCATGTTATCTTCTGGTGTCTGGGCATTGAGTCAAAACTGAATTATACTTCTTAGGAAAAAATGTGATGCTCTGATGTTGTGAAATGTTAATGCTGTGGATTTTGGATTTTGGATTTCTGGGTGATGGGACTGCATGATAACAGTTAGGGCTTCTGGACAAATCCCACAGAAGGAGTAGCATGTCCTTAGAGGCAAACTGGTCAGGTGCTGTCTACTTTATTGAGGCTGTACCTATCTAAAATCATTCAGTCAGTCAGCTTATGAGTCACCCAAAGTTTTTAGGACAGCACAAGCAACAAAAACATATAAAGAAAACTGATTCTAAAGCATTATGTGCATGTAAGTTGCAGTTTATCAGTCCAAGAAGAATAACTCACTTGCCGACAGGCTAGTGATAACAGATGATCTTTGCCATTTCTGCCATTTAATCCCATTGCTCTATCCCATTTTATCCCAGTTCTGCATAAACCGTATTACACAGTGTCATTCACACCACAATTCACTGTGACCCTTGGGATCCTTAATTCCACAGGGACTTGTCAAGGACTCTCCTGTGAGAAGAGCTGTGAAGGACACCCTTTCCAACCCACAGTCACCACAGCCGTCTCCATATAATTCTCCAAAACCACAGCATAAATTGACGCAGAGTTTCCTCCCTCCTGGCTGGGAGATGCGAATAGCACCTAATGGCAGACCTTTCTTCATTGACCATAACACAAAGACCACCACATGGGTAAGTTGAACTCTGATTTTTTTCCATTTCATGGGGGTTTGCTTGCTTCTAGGGTTGCAGACCAGGACGTGGTGTGAAGGTAAGTCATGTGGTGGGTGGTGGGAAGACATCATTGACTTTCATTAGATATAGGTGCAGCTGAGTCTTCTTCCACACAGCTCTTAGGGAGCTGCTATGATAGCTAGGACTGAATAGTGGTAAAATGTTGGACTGAGAATCAGGAGAGCTGGGTTCTAACCTCCACTCAGCCATGAAGCTCAGTGGGCAACTTTGGGCCAGTCCCTGACCCTCAACTAACCTGAGTTGTGAGGATAAAATGGAAAGGGGGAAAACAAGATGGATTAGGTAAGCCACCTTGGGAAGCAAGGTACAAATACAATAAATATATACCTTTGTTATGTTCTTTAACTATACTTTTGGTCCATCACAGTTGTCTTTCCTAGAGTATAATTGAGTTTTCTTGCAATATTTAAATTTTGCTTCATATGTATTTCTGTTATTACTATTACACTGCATTTATATCCTACCCCTTTTCCTCTTGGGAAAACCCCAAGGTGGCTTACAAAGTTCTTTTTTTTTTTTTTTTTTTTTTGTTCCCACAGCATTAACCATAAAGGTAGGTTTGTCTGGGAGTGACTGACTGGCCCAAAGTCACCCAGTGAGCTTTGTGGCTGAGTTGGGAATAGAACCCGGTTGATCCAGGTCCCCAGCCCAACACTATAATCCCCCATGCCACAATATAACAACTAACTATGGTTTCAACAAACTACAGTTTTAGCACTGTGGCCTCCCACTCACCACTCCTGGTTTGCATCAGCTTTCATAAACAATGCAGGAATGCCCTGTTCCGAGGTTCTTTGATATGAAGTACAAGCCCAGAATTCTGAGTTGTTGAAGGACAAACAAACCATAGTTTGAACCAATGTTAGTTGTTAAAACTCTGCATTGTTTGACCCTCAACAACCCTGAGTTCCTGGTTTGCGTGTTGTATCAAACAAGCCAGTGATCAGGCAGCTCCAGCGTTCTGCAAAGCAGAAGCAGCATGCTTATTTTGATACAGGTCCACCAGTGCAAGGGTCAAAGAACCCATGAAGCTTTAGTCATTACATTCGATTGCCTTTAGTTGCAACTTAGAGCAATTTTTCTGTTATGGATGTGCTATATTTGAAACCTTTTGCAATAGCAGCCTGTATCTTGCCCTCTGTTGAAAATAAGCAGTTTCTTCATTTTTTCCAATGAAGAATCACTGCTGTCATGTCACAGGACGTGGCATTTCGGAATATCATGAGAGATAACACGTCATTTCTCCAAGAAACAGTACATTCTAAGTCAATTTGTTCTGTTCTCTGAATATGGATGTTTCCATATATAACTGCTCCACAAAAGCCTTTTTCTTTTACCCAAAATGGAAACAGCTATCCAAGCTTCCCTGCAGGTTTTTTCCTAGCACCTTCTACCTGAGATTGTTTTATCATAGAAATCTGCCACCTCAACTGTGAAAGGCACTATCTTGACTAACCCATTAGTATTCCAAACAATGCAGTAGAGCCCTCATAATAGTTACCACAGTTTGGTAACGATTTCATAAGACTGGATTGCTACATACTCCCTTCTGGAGATCACCACAGTCTGAAGTTCCCTGTGGATCCGGGTGCATCTGAGCACTGAAAATCCAACCCAGTCTGCAACGGGTTTTGCTATTTCTACTCTCTTCCCCGAACTGGGTGAAAAGGCCTGCCTGTTTGTTCCCAGGAATAGGAAACAAGAGAGAAGAAGGGGCAGGAGACACAGGGGAAGCAGTGGAAGGAAAACAAGGGAAGTTGTAGCAAATGAACATAAAAGGCAAACTGAAAAGACGAGAAAATGATGTAGAAGGAGATGAAGTGTGGTAGCCAGGAACCAAGAAGTACAGACTTTCCAAAAACAAGTAATTGGAATGTGAAGCAAAATGCGATGTTAAGAGCCACATTCTACATAGACTGAGGCCTTCTAAAGCCAATAAAATAAGTGAACTCTGCCATTCCTAATGACTATAGGATGAAGTCGTTAATGAAATACCAATGCAGTTATGATTAACCACAAAAGTGGAAAGTCTTGGAAATACTTACATGAAACTGCCCTTAGATGCATTACGATGATTAAATGATGCCCATATGTGTGGGTCTCAAGAGATCTAAAACTTTGGGCTTATCTGAATGAAGACAAATAGGGATGTGGTTCCCTGCACATTACAGTTTAATCAATTTTTCTTCCATGCTTTCCTTAACATAACCTCTTCAGAAATTACAGCTAAACCTCATTTACTTCTGTCCAAATTGTGTTTATTCTTTTTGCTGAGCTTGTTTATTTCCCTAGATATTTAGGAGTGCATTTTGTTATGCCTTACAGTAGTTTCATATAAAATCTCATTTAATGCCGAGGCACGAAGTGGTCCATACGGTGCAGAAAAGGAGAGAGGGTGCAATGATGCGGGTGGAGCAGAGACAGACATATCCGCCCACCGTTTTCCAATGTTCCTCAGCCATCCTAGATCTGATTACCTTCAAAGAGGCCCATATGACTAATAGTATCATTATTAGAAGGAAATCAAAATAATTTTGATTCTCAAAATTGGGGCGTTTGTCTAAGACCAAACCTGTACATTTCTCAGCACCCTTGTCCTGCCACATCATTTCCCCTTCATTTCTCCTCCTCCATAGAAGGAAATAAAGGCCACAACTATATCAGCCACTTTTGCTGGCTATCTCCACCTGTAATAAGTATAACCTTGTCAGAAACAGTTTAGTCGCAGTTGTGCCCGACCCATCGCAACCCCGTGGACAACATTCCTCCAGGCCTTCCTGTCCTCCACCATCCCTCGGAATTCAACCAAGCCAACACCCACTGCCCCAGTGACTCCATCCAGCCACTTCATCCTCTGCCGCCCCCTTCTTTTTCTGTCAATTGTTTCCAGCATTAGGGTCGTCTCCAGTGAGTCCTTCCTTCTCATTAGGTGGCCAAAGTATCTGAGTTTCATCTTCAGTATCTGGCCTTCTAAAGAGCAGTCAGGGTTGATCTCCTCTAAGACTGACTGGCTTGATACCTTTGCAGTCCGAAGAACTCGCAGGAGTCTTCTCCAGCACCACAATTCAAAGGCCTCAGTTCTTCAGCGCTCAGTCTTCCTTAGCAAAACTTAAAAGAGTGGTGTGCATATGAGAGAAACATGTGGCAAAACTATGCTAAAGGTTGCACTATCCTGAGGGTTTTAATAGTTTATATGTGGGATCCCCAGTGATGCTGCTGATCATGGGCTCATTTGGAACCTTAAGAAAATGTGAACATGCCCATTCACAAAATGGCTGCCATGATCAATGTATGTGCTTTCACTCTCTCTTTTAGTAGCCAACTCACTATCTCAGTCTGTCTCCCTGCATGCACACATATATGCAGAAATGGGGTGGGTGGGGTAGGGAGGAGAAGACAGGCCCAGGGAGAAAGGAAGAAAAGGAAATCTTTTCTTTTTTAGTCCTATGCATTTTCCAAGGCAAAGCTTGCTGTCAAAAGCCTCCATGAGTGCTATTGTATCTGTAGACACCATGCTGGGTACCCCAGCATCCCATATTCTGAAAGCCAGGTATAAGTTTTCAGCTACCATATTAGCAAACATAATAGGCACATAATAGTTTGAAATGCAGTTGCTGGTCAGATATTGGGATGCATGCTATTTTGATTGGGAGAGTTTCTAGCAATCACCTAACTTAATGTTACTGTTTTGTATGCCCTGTTTAAACTATACCACCCTAAAAAAGAAAAAAGGAACTCTTTAAAATAGCTATGTACTACCTCCATATTAAGCTGCTGCAAGGTTTTGCATACAAAATGTTTTCTTTCTGGAAGCGAAGAATGATTGATAATGTAGGGTTCTGTTCAGTTTGGTTTGGTTGTTTTAAATAGTTTTATTAATTTTCTCATGAAGTAAATACAAATTGTTGTAATCAGCAACAATACTTAATCACTAACAAGCAATAATCAACCAATCAATAACATGATTGTGAACCATCCAGAGAGCTTCAGCTCTTGGGCAGTATAGAAATGAACATAATAATGAACATCATCATCATTATTATTATCCATGATTAAGTTGGTTTGATATGGCAGGCCCTTGTAAAACTGTAAATATGGAATGGGTATATGAAGCTTCAGTTGTGATGTTCTTACAGCAACTTGCTTTTGTTACAGGAAGATCCACGACTGAAATTCCCAGTACACCTGCGATCAAAAGCCGCTTTGAACCCTAATGACTTGGGTCCCCTTCCAGTAAGTATCCATGTTGCATATTTGTATAGATGCATCCTTTCTGATTGCTGCATGTGTGGACAGATTTGTGTGCAGTGGTAGCCATCTGTTTTGTTTCCAGTGCTAAAAGAGATTCATTGTGAACAGAAACTTGTTCCCAGGAGTCTTCTAACAGCACTTTTGAAACGGGCAGTCACTGGACTGCTGTCCATTTAGCTATGGCATACAAAATGACATATTAGTCCTAGCTGAAGGTTAAAGCAGTGCAGATTCTGAATGGTTTCTGTTGAAACAAAAACAATAAACAGGCTTGAATTGGAGAGAAGAATGCCAGTCATCGTTAGGGAATGTGGGAATTTTCATTATTTATTGATTTATTAAACTTCTAACTCACCCCATTAGCCGCAAGGCTATCAGCCTGCAGATTTTTTTCATGGTTGTTTTATTCCCTCTCTCTTTTATAGGCCTCCATAAACCCAGCTTATTGTCTGGATTCTGCTTTGTAGCTTAATTTATGTTTCCAAACGAAAACTTTCAATGCTATGCAGTAGTGGGTGGAGAGAAACCTTTCCTCTAAGTAGCAGATGTTTTCTAGGACTGAACTTGGAGCTGAATGATAGCGCTGCACAAAATAAAGATGGGCATTAGTTGGCCATTTGTGCATGTCCCTATTTTAAAGAAGCCTTCCATAGCCTAGTGTTTCCGAGATGTTTTGGGCTACAACTCTGTTTATCCAGACCAGTAGTTGTAATGCAAAACTTTAGGAGGTGACCAGGTTGGGGAAGACTGTTCTAGCCCAACACTGCCAGCTCCAGTAAACCTACAGAAGCTATTCCCAGCTACGATGGGCCCTTTTAAAGTGGTGATCTCATGGACCTGGAGCCTTCATGGTGGCTTGCTGTTGAGGACATCTCAGTCCACCTCTAATACCTAATACCTCAAGTGTGCCTAGGGCTCCTTTAAGTGTAGAACCCTCTCAGGGAAGTATACCGGATAAAAACCACACAAAGAGGGTGCATTAAATGTTAAAATCCATTAAAAAGAAGATTGCCAATTAAAACCAGTAGAAACCAAATTTACTGGTAAAAACACTTAGAATCGGTGTGGTTCCCCAGGACAAAAACGGCTGTCCATTTTTATAGGCTTAGAGTATCCTCTCGCACAGCCCCAAAAAGCCCCACATGAGTGAGCTCTTGCAGAATGCATTTGCCCCTGAAGGTGTGAGAAAGATCCTTGTCTGAACCATAACAAGCACATGTCTTTTGGAAAGAAGTCACATCCATTCTGGAGATGAAACTGGCAGCTTGTCCCTCTTATATTATATCTCCAAGATATTGGTTTTTAAATTTCACACACCATCTTGATGCTGTTATGAGTTCAGCTATGTCTCTTACATCTAACATGTGAAGTAGCACATATAAGAACAGAAACACAGGAAGTTGCCTTGCTGTCAGTCCATAGGTCCATCTAGCCAGCACTGGTCATCTTCATTCCTCTTTGGAGAGCCAGCATCCTGAGACTTTCTGTCACGCAGCTACCACCCTTCCCCTAACATGGAAGAAGATGATTATGAATGCACTGGCCCCCTTTTTGAGAAGTAGTAGCTGCTTCTAGAAGTAACTACCCCTATTTGAACCTTGAGGTAAAGAGGGAGACCCGATTGCTTAACTGAAGACTTGCCTTCAAGGTGTCATTTGGCAAGAAAATCAATGGCTTTTCTCTCCTGTAGGCTGTTGAGATACGATTGGTTTGTCATGACCATGCAGGAAGCAATTGGTGTGAGACTGGCCCACCCCACGTGTTCTCCCTGTTTTTCAGTTCTTCTGTACCTGACCAACACTTATTCCCTCCCTTGTACGCCTTTCGTTTGTTTGGCACTCTGACAGTATGTTCTGTGTTATCTCTGAACATAAACTGCTGTGCTTTTCTTAGTGGGGGCAGATCAATGTCCTGATCAAGGAATTCGTAATGGGTATAGAAACTCCAGTGCATATGTGAGACCTTTCAATAAATTCACCTGCCTCCTCACCATAGGTGAGTGCCCCTCCCCCATCTGGAGTGCACCCATGAGTCCCCAAAAGCAGTCTCTCTTCTCCTCTCCCAAAGGTGTTTTCTTTCTCTCCATAAGTTGGTCTATTGTTAAATAGCCACCTGCACCCCTGCTCTTTCTACAAAAGCCTGTAGGTGGCAAGCCACACCACCTTCCTTTTCCACTGAGGTAAGGAGGGGTCATATTTTTCCATTCCTCTTCTGTTTATCAGGAGGCAAGAGGGTTGCCTTCTGCTGGCACTTTCTCCAAAGGCCCAGCTTGTAGGAGGTCAAAAGATGCCTCTTTTTTCTTTCTCACATTTGACCAGACTGTCTGGAAGCTGCAGCTTGTGCACAATGCGGCAGCCAAACTAATAACAGGGACCAGACAGTCTGAACATATAACACCAATTCTGGCCCATTTGTACCTATATGCCTATATGATTCTGAGAACAATTCAAGGTACTGGCTTGGGACTGCCAATACCTGATGAAACACCTCTTTGGACTCCTATCTTACCTGTATAGTAGAAAGGAAGCTCAGTTTTAGGACTGCTGCAGAAAGTATCAGCCATCCCTCCTGGAAAACCCTTACGGGAGGGGGAAAAGCACGCATGCACGCACACTTATTCCTTGATTTTTTCCCCCTTTTCCCTCTTTCCTTTCCCTTTTTTATTTTTTCGGAAGCAACGTAAAGGCAGAATTGGCATGTCTTGCAAAAACTCAGCTTATGTGAATCCAGTCATCACTTCTGTCCTCCATGGAGAATCGGAAAGAAAGGGGACAGGACTTTCATCCTTAATTTGTTTGTTTTTGTTTTGCTAGACATGCCTGTTTGCCTTCCAAAAAATCACAACTTGGAAGGAAAGAAACAAGCCATTTTCTTCTCCATGGGAAGCTGGAGTAGAGAGAAGTGGGTGGGGAATTACTTCCTTTGCAGGAAACAGTAGGAGCAGCAGCAACATGCCAGTGGCACATTCAACAAAAGCACAACTTTTGGGGATGGAAAACACCTCATTTTCCCCTTAAGCTTTAATTAATTAATTAATTAAAAGCTTTCATATGCCATCCTATTATATAAAAATCTCGGGCACCACGGTGCTCCTTATGCTTCCTGCAAAAGAAGCACTCAAGGGCAAGCACCTCTCCCTTCTCTGAGTTTTCCTCCATGTGCATAAGTAGTAAGTTTGGCTAGTAAGCCTAGCCAGAATGAATCGACCACTGGCAGCAACCATCTTCTTCCAGCTTCATGAAAGAAGTGGGTCCACATGCAATTATTTGGTGTATGTGGATCAGTTCCCTTCATTAGAACAGGACAAGATGTATACAAGCGATTCACATTTTCCTTGGGAGTGTACACGGATCCCTGGATCAGGGCATACAGCTGGCTTTCTAAAACTTCACAATCATGGTATAACATATGAAGCACCCTTTAAAGGAAAGGGAGAGATACATGCCTGCTTCTTTGTCTGCTTTTAAAAAAATACTGTTTGCACATAATATGGCCATAAATATTAATTCTGCTGCTGATTTTTTTTGTTGTTGTTGTTCTTTAATTACAGCCTGGTTGGGAGGAAAGGATACATTTGGATGGAAGAACGTTTTATATAGATCATAGTAAGTAGGCACGCAGGTTCTACAGCAAGTAGATGAAGGGAGGTCATCATTATTGAAGTGAAAGCTTTATAATTTTACTCTTCATTTAGGAAGCCAGGTGTTGATATATGGCGACATTCATACCCGAGACTTAGTGCCCTCCTACGGTACTGTATAATTCACCAAAAGCTTGCTTTTAATTGGCTCATCAAGCTTTGTCCCTATTTGATCTTGTGAAGCATTAACATTTCTTCTTTGTGGTTGTTTTTGTTGAACTTTTTTGGATTTTATTTTTGGTGTTGTGGATGAATTCCATGGCTTATATGCACTTATTAATAAATGAAATCACACTCTAGGAATAGAAAATAAGATGAGAAAAAGATGTAGCCACAAGTCTATATATGTAGGCAGTGGAAGAAATTTTCAATAGAATCTTTCCCCCCACAAATTGCTTGAGGTCTTGGGGCAATGCCAGTTCTGACCTTATTTTCTATTTGTGGCATGTTATTTTGCACCCACCCTGTTAATCTCTATCCACTTCTGTTCCTTGAAGTCCCAGTGTAAATGGTGTTTCATTGTAGATATGTCCTATTACAGCACCTCTGAACAAGTGTGTGGATTTTTGTTTGTGTTTTGACAATATCAAGTGACAACAGAAATTATTGTTCTTAGGAGTGTTTGTGGGTATTTTATCTTTATAAATACTTTTACTTATTCAGCATCCTCTTGAGATAAGGAAAGAAGCTCTATTGAACTTGTAGAATTAACCTTTTAAACCCATTGCACAAGTGTTGTGCTCACAGTTTTCTTTGAATCTCCATATAATTAACGGCTAGTTGCATACAATATCAGGTTTTTGTTTTGTTTTAAACTGCTTGTGTAAAGTAGCTTTCAGATTATGTAAGTGCATGAATAACTTACAAGCAGTATCATGACCTTAAAATAAGGAATTCATAGTCCTTCAGAATTAGAGGGCCCTATTCAAAGAATAAGTATGAAATTAACTAAGAAACACCTATACCTTAAAAGTGCTCAATTTCTATTTATTACTGTGGAAAGAGAAGTGCACAATAGGTAAATTTCAGGAGTTTTCACCTTTTATATTGGTTACTTTAATTTTCCTTTAAAATTTAAAATCTAGATAGTTCTACTTTGCTAAATGTCTCCAGTCCTTAAACTTTGAACCGGTGTACCTGCCCTGGTGCAAAGTGTCAGCATTCATGATGAAGTGCTCACAAAGTGGTCAGTCCATGGCATCCTAAGCACTGATTCTCTATTGCCTTCAATCTGTATGGAGCTGCTTTTGTTGGAGCTTCATAGATAGATTTCCATCCTGCTTTCACAAAAGTACCCTAGGGCAGTATTCAGTAGTGATGCAGCACTAGCACTAAGGTTGTTATGCAAGGGGGAAAGCAGCAATTTAGCTTTGCCCTAGCAAGCACTAAGGATGTCCTGCTAGCATTGGTTCATGCTAGCATAGCATCGTTAGCACTAGCATTTTTACAAGCACACAGAAACACGTCACCATTGGGTAGTGTTCCAAGATAAGGACAGCATAGCATTGTAGATCTCTGCACCACTTACAGCTGATAATGTCTTCAAACCAGCCTGCCCCTTGAAGCATTGCAGCCATGCAAGGCACTTCTAGTGAGGAGAATAGCCGGCCACACCTTGCTTCAGGTAAGCCCATGGCCCAGCAACATGGGTGGCCATGCTTGTTCTGCTGCTTGCTCCAGGACGGAGCACTGCTGTTTATCCTCAGGCATTCGGGCACTGCATCCTGACCGTGAGCATTTTCGCGTAACAAACATCCCTTCAAACAGTAACAAAGATATTTACTTCAGTTGCAGCAGCCCTGCTTCCACCATTGTTCCAAAAGAGTTCACCTGCTGCTCAGCCGCTCGTGCCAATCAGCAGCGGAGAGTGTACTGGGCCATTTATTTATAGTTTCTCAGTGATAAAGCTGTCCTCAGTTTGAAGAGGACAGCAGAACAGAGCAAGTCACTGGTTTCTCAGTCTCCATGAATATTTGCAGCTGGCTTCACAGTGTTTCAAAGGGAACACAGACACATTTATAGAGGACGTGTTTCCAAAGACAGTGCTGTGCAAGAATATCCCCACCACTGCTATTTTTGTTTTGCTTGCAGAAATGTTGTTTTATTTAAACAAACATTCCCACCCAGGAAACAAGATTATTTTTGTGTTCTGTACTCTAGTTATGGGCAAGTCATTTTAGGCTCCTGCCATGACCACCTCCACCCCCTCCCCCCAGTTTTGGGGTGTGCTGTCCAGTGGAATATTACTGGGAGCCTAGACTTTACATGTGCTCTTCTCTTACTGGAAGTACATTATATACTAGAACTCTGTTTCCCCCAGATGGAGTGCTGTCCTTGTGACTTTTGAGAATAATTTTAAAGACGCCCCAGACTTCCAGGCTCCCCCGCCCAGTAATTCTTTACCCCTTTATATCATATCCCATTGCTGTCACTAAGTCTATTCAAAAAGGGACTCCACTGAGCAGTGTTGCATTAGATTATATTAGAACATGTGCTGAAGAGCTTGGCTTGGCCATCAGCTCTCCTGCCCAGCAGCTTATTTGCCACATCGGTATTCTGCTACTTGTAATTCAGCAGGCAGGAGCAGCGCCACATACAAGACCTGCACTTTTCTTTGTGGATTAGGCAGTAGGTGATAACGTTTTAATTTCCCAAAATGCCCCAGGGACACCTTGATCAGAATCTCAACTGATGGGAAAGTTGGGGAATGGGGCAGGAGGAATCTTTCTGATTCTAAGCCTGGCCGTAGGAAACATTAAGTTCCCCCGGCTGGAAAAGTGGTGATTCCCTTCCTCTCTGATAGGGAGGAAAACTACCATGTTTTGAGCTGTAAGAAGTTCTAAGGATATTACTGAGTCAGAGCTTCACACATGACTCTGGGAGAGTGCCTGCCCCTTGCACCTTCATTGGTTTCATGCCTGCTTTCACCATTTGGGCTCAATATATATATATAGGCATGTAAAAACATCAGAAAGGTGAGTGATACTTACCACCATGGTAAATGGCAGCTTTGCCCATAAAGCCCCTTCTCTCCCTGGACTTGGCCTGGGACATTCACGGATACCTCTCTGTTGTGCAAGGATTAGCAAAATCACATTCCAGACACATTTAAACATACAGTGGTACCTCGGCTCACGAACGCCACAGTTCACGACCAAATTGGGTCGTGAACAGGAATTTCATAAAAATTTTGCTGCAGGTCGCAAACTCCACATCAGTTGATGATCATGATTGCTCCTGCCTTCCCTGCACAGGTGCGATCATGGTCATGCTGAGGGGGGAGATGGCCGTGATCACACCTGTCTCCCCGCACTCCCAGCACGATCACAGCCTTCCCCCCCACCCCCGCACGATTGCTCAGGTGAGGGGGAGATGGCCATGATCTTTGTTTTTCTTTGTCACTTTGCTTCAAATTTTTGTGAGTAAAATAAATATTTACAGAATGGATTAACCTTATTTACATTGACCCTTATGGGGAAATTTGACTTGGCTCATGACCAATTTGGGTCACGACCAGAGTCCTGGAACGAATTAAGTTCGTGACCCAAGGTACCACTGTATCTGTCCTTGCATTGAAACTAGCATATGTTTCAAAATAATCTAAACATTGTTTGTTTAGATTCATATCCTGTTCCATCTGTGAGGCACAGACTAGGCCAAACAATGTTTTAAAAATAGGGTTTCACTTTAGAAAAAGAGGAATCTTTGTCCATCAGGGAAGCGAACACCTGAATCATCTCTATATGCAGGTGAAAAGGAAGGAAGGCCAAACACACATCTCCCAAATATGGAGCCCTCTTTCTTGATCTAGCACTCTGCCAGGCTGGAGATACACTAGGAAACCACCAGGAGTGGGTCCTTCAGAGTGTTGGCTCATCCTATGGAATACCCTCCATAGGGGGCACATGCACCTGCACTGTTTAGTTTTTTGCATTTGCTGAAGACTCTTCAAGCCAGCATTTCCTGAGCAGGCTAAATCCCAGCCACCTTTTTATTGGTACTCTCTGCTTATACTGAAAATCTTTTCTATTTAATTTCTTTGACACCATACTGCTCTTTTTTGACGGGGCGTAGTTAATCAGTTTTGTAAAAATAAATACATAAATAGACACAAAGTAGCTACCTATTCTAATTTTCTCTTTCTCTATATGGATTGTGTCCCTTACCCTCCTGAACACTTAAAAACCCTTAAAAATGACTTTAGAACTGAACTGAATAGAACTGATTCAACCTATTCTGTCAGTTTAATTTCTCATCTGCTCCATTCCCAAGGGTTCCTCCCACAATGATTTTAATAACATCACATTCCTGCAGCTTCCTTCTGACACGCTTATGTAAATATGCAAGTGGATCTTTCTTAAGTTATACCAGAAGCAGTTTTTAAATAAGTAATGCTCCTGCAAATGAAGAAATTAATTGTACAGTTAATTTAATCAGATGTTTCAGAGAATTTATTAGTCTTGAGCTTTATTTCTAATCTGAAATAAACCCAAATTATAAATCCCCAGAAGAGGAGTTCTATAATTTGCATAATTAACCTACACTATGATTCTAGGGTAGATTCTATTTTGCATTTTTGAATGGATGCATCCTGCTAAACAGTGTGATGGGGCAGTGGTTAATGTATGGGGTGTGTGTCATTTTCTCTTTGCTTAACCCTGAAGAAGGTATTTATAAGGAAGTAGGCAAGAAGTGGAAATGTCTTGTAGATGTAAAAGGAATATTACTAGGGAACTCATGTTGCAATTTCTTTTGTTTAACTTGCAGATAATAAAATTACTCAGTGGGAAGATCCCAGGCTGCAGAATCCTGCTATTACTGGTCCAGTAAGTACTGCATGTAAAGTCTGAATTCTTTTGTGGCGAGGCTGCTGTAATTCGCTTCCAGTCACCTAAAAGGCAACTGTTAGCAGAGGAGCACTGCTTTCTTTGGGGACTATGTCCAATGTCCATCACTGTAGTGTGGCTGGCATCCAACCCCATTTTCTCATCCCCTCTTGTTGACCGTGGGGGGATCCATTCATTCCACATTACATAAAAGACGGGGGATGGATTTTAGCAATGGTCCAGTGAAGTTTTTCTCTACTCAAACAACACTCTTGTGGCCACCAAGATCCAGCAAGTGTAGTGGAATATCTAAGAGACAGAGTTGTGAAGTAGTTAAATTCCATTTAGGCTGCAAATGAACTGTGACATTAGGCAAATTAGTATTCTCCCTGTCTGCACTGTGAAGGTAATAAATACTGATATACCTGAAATGCAGCATTCAAGTTTTGTGGGTGACGGGGATGGTTACACTTTGCCAGGTTTTAGGGAGTCCAGCATGGACTGCAACCTTTTATTAAAAACCGAGGGTGAGCGTGCAAACTTGGCATTATGGGGTGTCCAGATCCTGTGCCGGATGAGCAACAAGTAATATTCTGAGCTGCTGATTTAAGATCTCACATAGAAGAGAGATGGATAGTATTCGTTTGCAATTTGAGAGAGCAAAGCAAGTCGGACTTCATACATAACATGCCCATTCAGGAATGACAAGTGTCCAAGTTCCATAGTTTCTGTTTGCATTTCCTGCGTCCATGTCAGAGGAGCCAGCAGTGCTGGGCTACAGTGAGAAGGGACAAGAACACAGCTGTTGTAGGAAGAGAGAGCGCCATTGCTGTTGGTAGGATTTGCAGATGCAAGAACAGAAAAAATAAATGAGTTGGGCCTCTTGTTTTCAGGGTGCTAAGAAACACTGCCCTTAGATCCCTGGATCTAAGTGGTGTCTGAAGAACATTTGTCACTTGTGCATAATTTACATCTTTTATTTCTTATGCTTAAAATTCTTATATCTCGTTCCGGGGGAAAGCCTTCGGAAGGAAACTTGCAACTGATAATTAGAAATATAAAGTAATTCTGAAAATAGAAATAAGATCCAGTTACAAAGATAGAACAAGCAGCAGTTTTAAACCCAACTCGTGGCATTTTTAATATAGAAATCATTTTGAAACAGGTGTGTAATGTTAGTTATTAAAACCTAGAACGATGGTAACTTATAAACTGTCTCCAGTGCCCTCAAGTGCCATGGATCTTGGTGGAGGGCCGTCAAGCAGGACTTCGATGTTTAACCTAAAGCCAAGGCAGGCCGATATGGATGGGGACAGTCCTTAACCAACCTAGCGCAAATCCATGTAGGTCTTTAAGTTCAGCATTTTCAAAGCTGGCTGTGCGTCAAACACACTTTTGAACCTAGATCAGAAAGGATCTCTCAGAGCCAGCTTCTTATTGGCTTGCAGGCATGAAAATAGCACGGCAGAGGAATTATCTGGCTGCTTTGTAGCATTCAAAAATGGTTTTAATTTTGTCTTTTCCTGCCCACTGCCACTGCCAGCCATCAGTCTTTTCTTCAATTTATTGCTGTCACATTTCCTAGGGAAATTTATTAACTTAGTGGTTAAGGAGCCATGCTTCCTGCTTGAATATCCCTTATCCATATTCATTTCAGGTTTTGGACCTCTGATTTCTCTTTCAAGAGTCTAAATTGCAGTATGTTGTGTTTTGGTGTGTTAACTTCCTTTCACAAAAGTGTCCCATCTGCTAAGAAGTTGCATTAGCAAAGCAGATGGCGACTTCCAGCTTAGCATGCCTGGAACCTATTTCATCTGTGCTTCCTTCTGTTGTGCCGGAACAATATCAGGCAGCACCCTTTCCCAAAGCAAGTCAAAGCAGCTAGTTTTCAAATAATCATTTGTTTTGATACATTTTCTTTTATCTTACTAGAAAATTATGTATTTCCAGAATAGCAAACATCCCACTTATATGGCCAAAGAAGTTGCACTGTCCTTATATTTTAATTCAGCTCTCCTTATAAATGAGACCCATTAATTTGCCATTAGAAACTGAGACAAAGAATGTATTTGCATATTTATACAGAGTAATAACTGTATTGACCACCTTGGAAGAACCCAAGAGTGAAGCTACAAGAAAGAGCACTGTAAATACAGGGAGTTATCCATGGGAGCATCAGTATGTTCTATGTTCGCTTGATTTTTAACGATCTTCAGTTGCAAATTTCTAGGAGTCGTCTCATTGAACTAATGGGGCCCCTGGCTTGACACTTTTGGAGAAAATCCCCATGTGTCCCCTTTTTATTTTCCTTTCTTGGGACTCTGTCCTGCCAGAACAGTCCCAGTATATTTAGAAGAATACAATGCAGTCATCATCCAAGTTTTGAGGGGCAATGTTCCCCCTGCCCTGGTGAGTCTATCTTAGAGTAGAAGAGTTGGATGCAGCTGATAAGGTCCAACACCTTTCCCAGTGCAGGACTGCAAGTTAAAGCATCCCTAACAGTTGGCTGTCCAGCTGCCTCCTGAATGTCTCCAGTGTGGGAGAGCTCATGATCTCTTTATGTAATTGGTTCCATCCCATTGCCATATTGCCTAAAAGTCAGAAACTTTTTCTTGATCTTCGGCTGGAACCTGAGCTTCTATAACTTGAGCTTATTATTCCATGTCCTGCACTCTAGGATGAGTAAGAACAGGCCTCCTCCCTGTGGCAGCCTTTCAAGTACTTGAAGAGTGTGACCATATCTTCCCTACGTCCTCTCTTCTCAAGCTAAACATGATCTTCTTTCAATCTCTCCTCATAGGGCTTTGCTTCCAGTTCACTGATGATCTTCCTTGCTCTCATCTGAACCTTTCTTAGCTTTTCTGCATCTTTCCTAAACTGTGATGCCCAGAAGTGGACACAGTACTCAAGATGAGGCCTAACCAATGCGGAGTAGAGGGGAACTAGTACTTCGTGTGATTTGGAAGTGATACTTCTGTCAATGAAGCCCAAACAGCATTTGTCTTTTTTTGCAGCCACATCACATTGTTGACTCATATTCAGCTTTTGATCTATTCAGCTTTTTCCAAGATCCTTCTCATGTGTAGTATTGCTGAGCCAAGTATCTCCTATCTTGTAACTATGCATTTGGCAGTTGTCCCTATTAAATTTCATTTTGTTTTTCTCAGCCCAGTGCTCCAGTCTATCAGGATCACTTTGAAATTAACTTCGGTCTTCCCAAGTATGAAGTATTCTATCCTATTTTCTGTAAACTGCATCCAAATCATTAATTAAAATTTTGAAGATACCTGGCCCAGGACCGAACCCTGTGGTATTCCACTAATTATCTCTCTCCAGTTTGAGAAGGTGCCATTGAAAAACACTTTTAGAGTCTGATTCTATAACCATTTGTGGATCAACCTGATAGTTCTTCCATATAGCCCAGTTTTAGATAGCTTGCTAATCCTTCAACTGCACTCAAAATATATGCACAACATTCCCATGATCCACAATATAAACTTTCAAAAACTTAAAAATGGAATCAGATTAGTCTGGCAGGATTTTTTTCTTCACAAACCCATGTTGGTTTCTAGTAACTACTGTGTTCAAGGTGTTTGCAGACTGACTGCTTTACAATCTGCTCCAGAACTTTCCCAGGGAGGGATGTCAGGCTGACATTCATCTGTAGTGGCCAGATTCCTCTTTTTGTTCCTTTTTGAAGAGAGGGGCAACATTAGCTGTTCTCCAGTTTATCTGGCACTTGTCCCATCTTCCGTGATTTCTTAAAAATAATAGACAGTGCTTCTGAGAGTTCCTGTGCCAGTTCTTTTATTAGTCTCAATGCACCTCATCAGGCCCTGGAAAATTGAACTCATTCAAAGTGATTAGGTGTTCCTTGACTATATGCACCTGAATCTCACTGCCATTGTCACTAGCTGTTCTTGCTCCCCCTTCTTTTTCCCATCATTGCTACTGCTCGCTTGCTTGCTGGCAGGCAGAGAGGCAGTGAGCAAGGGGGCAGCAGCATCTCCTGCTTCTCCTCATCACCACCTTTATCTGGGCCAGAGAAAGAGGCAGGTGAGCAAACAGGTTGCAATGGTAAAGAGATGAAGCAAGTCCTGAGGAGCATTGTCAGTGGGCCCCTCCTGGTTGTGTGCCCTCAGGAGGTTGCCCAGCCATGTCTACTCTTGATGCCCTCCCTGCCCACTCCTCCTGTAAAGCAGGGGTGAGGAACCTGTGGCCCTTCAGAAATTGTCAGACTTCCGTGACTACCATCCTGGCCATAGGCATGCTAGGTGGGGCTCATGAGATTTGGAGTACTGCAATATTTGGAGGATTACAAGCGATGAAATTTGTTATGTTTTGTACCTTCATACCTTGTGTCTTCAGTAAAGTGGCATAACAATTATATATCAGCTTCATAATTTACAACCACACACAGTAAGCCAGAATCATTGAAAACTCATTTCCGTGTGTGTGTAGAGGGTGGGGAATAGCCTCCTTTGTATTTAGTACATTTGAAATGAACTGATGCTCTGACAGATAATGGAAAGTTCACAACTTTTGGGCTGGGTTCGAACAGGCACTCATCTTGTTCTAAATGTGTATTTTGGGAAAGCTGCTCTTAAGCACTATAGGTAATGATCTGCAAATAAGCAGAAAGGAATATCGGGCACCCATTACAAGTGTCTCACTCTCCCAATGCCATTTTGCTTTGAGTAGGCATCTTAGATTCCAATTCCTATTGAGCTGTGAGGGATATCATAGAACCTTGGCCTATTGCTATCTTTCAACCTAATGAGATCAAAGAGTTGCTGTGATAACAAAATGGTTAGAGGGGAGAACTTGGTATGCTGTTCTGATCTCTTTGCAGGAAGAAGAAACATATCACCACTCCTAGCAGAGTGTGGGTTAGAACAGAATGGGATTTCCCTGGGGTATTATGGGCTGGGCCCCTTAGAGGAGCCACACCTATGGAATGGCTTTAGTAGTCAATAAATTGGGCAGTATTTAGGGGAGACATAAATGCAAGTGATGGGGAAGCAAGGCACCAGTGAACATCTGTGTTGTCTTTTGATGGTTTGTGCTAACAATAGAGTACTCATTTTCTTCCAGGCTGTTCCTTATTCCAGAGAGTTTAAACAGAAATATGACTACTTCAGAAAGAAATTAAAGAAACCAGTAAGTACTTCTTACTTTGTGTTGGAAGAGATTTTCTTGGAATAGGGAAGGGCAGTCCAATATGAATTGCATCTTATCATTACAGGTGCATCACTGCAACATGCATACCTTTTAACTGACCCTGTCTGTGCAGGGTCTTCTTTGGAGGTGGAGGGGGCAGGTTCTGTAAGCTACTGCACTGCTACAAAAAGCTTCCAAAAAATCACTTTTTTAAGGTTAATTAGACTAGATTTTCGGAAATGAGCCTTTTACAACTGGCGGTGCCAACCATAGCAGCCTTCTTGTGAAGTGCTTACGACACTCTCAACATTCCAGATGTCTCACTAGCCCAAAAAGTTAGTGACCCCTATTCTGTGGGGGTGAACCTTGTCCTTCTTAGTAATGCAGATAAAGAAGTCAAACCATATTTAAAGAAGCCAGTGGTTGCTGTTTCTCCCAATTTATGTTTTTGTTGTCTGCTTTGGGCCACCATACAATAGAGGAAGAAACTGTCTGATTTCTATTCTTAGCCAAAAAACCTTTTCTGTGAAAAGTAGAAAAATTTAAGTGGAATTTATTTGGACCAGTGTATAAAATACACTTCTCTCCATATAGGCTGATATACCAAACAGATTTGAGATGAAGCTCCACAGAAACAATATTTTTGAAGAGTCATATAGAAGAATCATGTCTGTGAAGAGACCAGATGTATTAAAAGCCAGACTCTGGATAGAGTTCGAGTCGGAAAAGGGCCTTGACTATGGAGGTGTGGCCAGGGAGTGGTTTTTCCTGTTGTCCAAGGAAATGTTCAATCCTTATTATGGCCTCTTTGAATATTCAGCAACGTAAGTGCTTTGTGCGTGAAATGCATTCCTTTCAGTGTGAGTGTATGTTGTATAAAAACTTTTCGTTTATAAAATTTCATTGAAAATATTTCCCAGCATCTGGAGGGCCTGTCCCAGCCTGGTGTCCTCCAGATGTGCTAGACCTACACTGCCAGCAAGGCCACTAGTAACAGTGATGTGAAATGCGTCTGCCTTGGACCCTGCTAAGCTGCTGCCAGCCAGAATACACAATCCTGTTCCAGATGAGCTAAAACTGTGAGCTGGACTAAGGCGGCTTCATATGAAGGCCACACATGTGCCCGGTAACCAGCAGTACGGATTGCCTGCTGCTGTGGATTTCAGTGATGCCCAAATCCACTGGTCCCCTGCCAGCAGGTAACAGTTTTAGGTAGGGAATGTTCAGCAGGATGCAGTTGTGATGATAGTGTTGCCGAGCGCTCAGACATGAGCATCTATTCTTGCATTAACTCGTTTTGATCCTCACCCATGGCAGCAGCAGTGCCTTCAGCCTTCCCAACTGGGCTACATCTGCTCTCCTTCACAGCACACTAGCAAGCCTTTCATACCAGCTCATGCCCTGAGAGCGGCTCAAACTGATTTAGGCTGCCCACAGCACTGTTGCTCCAAGGACAGGCGTACAGAGATAGATGGTTGCCAGCAGAGCCGTGTGGGCTGCAGATCGCCCCAAGTAGAGCAGTCGCTCAGCAATCCATGCTCAGAACATCATTTATTTAATAGCGTTCACATCTGATTTAAAGATTGTAATTAAAGACCCACAATCAAGTATTCAGCTTATAGCATTTCTGAACAGTTACTCATTTGTTATGTCTTCTCAGTAACATGTTGGCATCAGTAATGAATTACATGTCTGTCAATTTATAACTACTCTTTACCAAAGCACCAGAAAGGAGCCTTGATTATAACTATGTCTCCCTCGGGGGCATATGTCATTATCCTAAAACAATTAATTCCATTTTCTGCCTAGTAGTTAACTCTTAACAGGTGTGTTAAAAGAGTAATTTAGTTGTTATGGGCAGAACTTGCTGTCAAGATTATCAATACCTATATCAATTTCCTTGTATAAGTGGAGTGCGCACGGAAAGTATGCCAAAGACAATGGGTAAATAGGTGCTTGCTTATTTGAAGCTGCACCGATCTCCTTTGTCAGCACTTGTAGATGGCAAATGAGCCCAGTGCCTCAGAAATAATTAGAAAGGAAGCTGCAGTAGCTCCTCATAAAGCTTGGCAGCTTTATGATCCTCTTTCTTTACAGTGTTACATTGGCTTGCAGCCCAGCATAATGTCATGCATTGTGATGGAGTAGTGCCATGTTATTAATTATGTTTACTGATTCCTTTGTTATATGCTGTCGATCTTCATTTGAGTGGTACATGGCTTCTTTGGAGTTTTACAGTTAGCTCCTGCATGTTTACTCAGAAGTAAATCCCACTTCCTAACTGTGCATAGGATTGCAACCTAGATGACTAGAAGGATGCATAGAGAAAGGGATCGGGGAATGCTTGGCATTGGTAATTTAAAGCTGGATAAAGTAACCCATAGATGTCAATACAAAGAACACCGCAGATCAGCATGTGGTACCCACCCTCCCTCCACCCAATGGTTTCTGCTCCCTACATCACCTACAAGATGCTTTTGAAAGTTGGGTTCAATTTGGGGAGATGTGTCTTTGAAGTAGGAAAAAGTGAACCTCCCTTATTCTCACAAGCCTGCTGGCTTACAGCCGTGGCCATGTCCCTTTATAAGGAATTATACATTGAAAAGTTCCCAATAACAGTCTGTCAGCAGAAAAAACTCTCTCTAGCAGAGATGAACAGTACATCTCCGTTGCTGTTTTTCATTTGCTTATCACTCGGAAACCACAATTGCTGCTTTGAGAAATAACTCTTACTGTCACATTCCTGTTGCATATGGATGAGACCTTCTCCTGTAATGTCATAGAGGCGAATAATGCGTCTCCAGCTCTAGGGAGATTTACCAGCGCAGGCCTTGCTTAAAATGAACACGAGCGACCCAAAGTCTTGGAAATGTTCCTAGTGCAAGGGGCTGATTCTTAACTTCTCTCAGTCTGTTGGTTCCTTGCAGCAAAAACAAAGTTGAGTGTTAAGGTGCCTTAAGGATTAACACATTTATTGTGACGTATGCATTGCAGCCTGTTTCATCAAATGCATGAAGTATATCCTCAGTTGGCAGCCATATGTACACTGCACGCGTACACACACACAAGGAATACAGAGAAATAAGCTGTAAAGAAGATAGCAGAAACAGCCATGTACAAGCTCTTTGAGTAAGTTAGAAGTAGAGACTCTGCTGTCCCATGAAGGGCATTCATGCCAGTCAGAACTGCAAAATCTGCATTCTGGCTTGTGTGAAGAGTCACTGCAGACGACAGGCTCCCCTCTTCAGTCTGTCACCCTCTGTGCGTTGGGGGTGACTGGCACCATGTGGAAGAGGGGTGGGGCTGCAGTGTTCTCCCTCCTTGGGAGGACTACAGCCTGATCCAGTTTGTACATCTTTTTCATGGTTAATTAACCTGCTTAACAAATAGTCCAGGAACAAGCTATTTGTGATGCCCAAAGCCAAGGCTCTGGGTTGTTGAGGGACAACCAAGCCAAAGTTCCAGGTTTGGATGTCATGTCAAACGGTAGTAGTTCCTGGGTTGTTTGTTAAGCCAGAAGCCAAGCTGGCACAGTGAAAATGAAGGAGGGAGCGCTTTTACTTGTTCTGATGAAGCCCCAACTAACTGTGGGTTATTTAACCCATGGTTGTTAGGTGTAAAGAGGCTTCTTTGACATTTGAATGGAAAGCATCAGTGCAGAAAAGATAAGGTAAGCAGTGGCCATACCTCAGGAGTGGTTTTGCAATGAAAACGTGGAATGGAAAAGGACTTTATAAGCTGCCTCAGGTGTCTCGCAAGAAAAACAAGGTGGGATATAAATGGGGCGTAACCAGAAAAAACAGAAATAACACAATCTTCATCCATTTTTTCTGTTGTGTACAGTCTCTGGACATGTGTATATTGCACTGAAATATCAGAGTATATCTCTTCCATTTTCTGCCCTTTGGGCTCCTTTTTCTCCCATATTTTCTTCTCCTGAACTCGTGTGTGTGTGTGTGTGTGTGTGTGTGTGTGTGTGTGTGTGTCTCTGTCTCCCTGTGTCTGCCAACTGAGAGAAACGCTTCATGGGTCTGATGAAATTGGATCTGGTTCATGAATGCTTGTGCCACAATAAATCTGTTAGCCTTTAAGGTGCTAACAGCTTCTCATTTTGATTTTCCCTTGTGCTAACTTTATACAGGAACAAGTATTTGAGTCATTTTGGTATTATTGGTACATATCGAATAAATTCTATCTCTTGTGGTATATGCTGAAGATATGTTTGCAGGGATGTGTAAACGAGCAAGAACACACATTCTCAGAACATCAGTTTCCTGCTTGTCTGTTGCAATCTGCACTCACTTCACGTGAATGGGAAAATTGGGCAAAACAAATGCAATTGAATGGGAAGGCAGTACGCACACAAAAATCTCACCTTTCCACAAACTTCCCCTGTTGACTCAACTATGAAAGGGCACATTTTTAAAGTTCCACAATTGCAAACTGGTTTTCATCTGAATTTGCATTTTTAATTAAAACAAATGTTCAAGAATTGGCTAGCGTTTGGGGAGACTGTATTCCCCTGCTTAAACTCAGGATGGTGAGCAAGCCGTGCTTGCCTGATTTGTGAGCAGAAACAAAATTGTCGTTTAGCTGTTTGTTTGGCAGAAAAGGGAAATCAAACGTATGTAATGGCAATCTCTACTTCTTTTCCTTCTTTCATTTTAAATTAAGGGACAACTACACTCTACAGATCAATCCTAATTCGGGGCTTTGTAATGAAGATCATTTGTCTTACTTCACCTTTATTGGACGAGTTGCTGGACTAGCAGTGTATCATGGGAAGCTTTTAGATGGTGAGTTCCATGTGACCATAAAAGTATATCATACCATTGCTTAAATGTTACACAATCCCCAAATTGTGTTCTTTTTCTGTTTCTCAATAACATTATATAATGCTGACTTTTTCTTTGAGTAGAATACACTTAGATGCAATTAGTTCAGAGGTTCTATGAGGGGTAAGATCTTCCCTTCCTATAAATGTCACACAAAAGCAGTGAACTTATCAAAGTGATGTTGAAACTTTGCAAAAATGCCATACCAAATGTGCCACTTCTGCAAATTTGTCATATGTTCCTGCCATTCACCTGAATATAAGCTGAGCTAAATTCCTCTCCCCCACCCCACCCACTCCAAGCTGCATTTGCAGAAGTATTTCTAAAGTTTCTGTGTGAATAGACAAAATTCTGCACTGGGGCCTTTATTATGGATTATTAGATGCCTTTCCCAAAGGTCCAGTGACAGAAAAGCAGAACAGCCTTGCTCAAAGCAGTTCACAACTGCATGCAATAGAGAACTTTGGAAGGTGCAGCTTGTCGTGCAGCAGCTAGAGAAGCTGTAATGTGTTGAAGTCTCTTCTCCAGCACAATGCTTAAGCCAAGAATGCAGAAACTCAGGCCTGGGGCCTCAGTCCAGCTCTCTGGGTTTTCCCCAGTTTGCCATGCCCTCTTTCCCCAGTCACCAGTCATTAGGTGGCTTTTATGCCGTTGTTTTCCTCATTCTGTAAGCGAGAAATGCCTCTTCTGACATGTAATTTCTACCTGTGAGACCGATAAGCTAAAATATGTGGATATTTTTGCCCTGCTCGTTTCACCTGCAGCCAAGCCCATCACTAGAATGTGGCATTTAGGAGCTTTGCCAAAAATCAAATTCAGGACTTATTCTAATGGAGAGTCGACGTTCCTGGAATAAAGAACCACTTTTTCCTTTTTCACCTCCAGATGTCCAATTCTTTCACTTACCCTTGAAGTTGACCTTAATGTTACAAGATTTCTGTAAATAAAGTCACTCCCATTATACAGCAGCTATGTACACAGGGTCAAAACTATTTATCATGGGTCATGAAATGAATATATTGGGACTTTGCAAAAAGTGTTCATTATGTTTACACCCCTAATCTTATGCATCTTCCTAGGAACTCAGAGCAGGATTGGCTAGGCTGAGATTATGGCTTTTACAGTCTACTCTGTGAAATTTGTAACTATGAAGGGATCTGAGCCTGGACTTTCTGTAACGGTCATACCATACTACCATTTGGTTCTCCCATTTCCTTAGAGTCTTCCAGACACACATTCACGGGTTAATATCTGGTTTATTTGGCTCACAGCTGGGTCATAATATAAAGGAAGTAGCATCATTTTGTGTGTTAGAGAAAACCTTTTCCATAGAAAATCAACTATAAGTTTAATCATGTACTTTTTTGTGTCCTTGTTGTATAAAGCCCTGTTCTGACGTTCTCTTTGTGCACAGTCTCTACATATGCAAAGAGGGAGCAGGGATGGTATCATCCCTACCCGCTTTCCTTTTTTGTGCCCTCTTCTTCTATCTTTCCTGAGATTTAGACGTTTTGGGAAAAAAGAATTTTAACATCTCATGGAAGGCTGCCCCAGTCCGAGAAGGATGACCCCTCCACAAGTAGGGAGCATGAGAACAGCAAGAAAAGAATGGAACCAGCACATGCATCTTTCCATTCCTTTCCTCACATAGGGGATTTAAGGCCAAACTACATGTTACACTAATTGGACAGCTTCCATTCAGAACCAAATTCAGTCCAGAACCAAAGTGCTACAGGTGTGAGACCGTCTCCCAGTCTGGGCAGGAACTGTAGCATGTGATGCTGATTCTGAATCAGAAGAGGAAGCTGCAGAGTCAGGTCCAGCTATGGGAAGCCAGACACCTACCAGGCCTCCACTTGACTTAAGAGCCAGGACATCCTGGTAAGGCACAGGATGCTGGTACAGCCTGTCTCCCACAGCTGTGAGACCTGACCTGGACAAAGGCCCCCGCCTTTCAGCCAGGGTCATGTTCCAGGCGAGCAGGAAAAAGGCTCCACAAAAAATGGTGTTTCAGGCTTGTCCTCCTTGGTGCATCCTCAACTAAAGAGGGAGTGATGGAGGCATTAAGTGAGGTGCCTCAACCAGCTTGGAGCCAGAGTTCCCTGGACTAAATGTCCAATAGTCATCTTTAGGTGACATCCACCTGTATATAGACTAGAGCAACCAGCAGTGGACTTTGATGAAATCAATGTACTGGTAAATTGGAATGCTTCCTGCTTCCACTGGATCTATGATCTTAATTTGGACTTATTCTGTGCATGCTTTGGGTGTTTTGTTGTGATGCCCTTGAACAGATTCTTGCCAAAGAACTAGCGTGTAACCTATTTGCTTGTGGATCTTTGCTGGAACTGCAAAGGCTTATAGCTACTTACTGGAATTGCTGCCTTAAAAGATTTTACTGAGACGTTGCTTCTGCGCTAGGAAGTCAGGATCTGGCACTAGAGCAGGAGGGTTAAACCTTTCCATCCAACCCATTTTTTCCTCAAAATCTCCCTAGGAAAAAAATGGCCTGAGTGGCAAAGTTTAACCCTCCTGCCCCAGTGCCTTTCCCCCTGGAGTGCCATGGTCCTGATCTGAATTGAGGTTCCACATATATGCATGCATGCATTTATACATACATACATGAGAGTCAAAGCCTGCAGCTATGCATTCAGTCTAACATACATGCAACGAAAAAGCCTGAATAAGGCGTGTGTTTTGGCAGCAAGCAAGCCTTCTTGGGACTGCTGGAGATCCTAACACTATGTAATTTGCACATATAAGACAGCAGTGGAAGCTGTTGCCCATATTTTATATCTCCTGCTAATGAATCTGCCTTGTAGACTGAAATGCTAACAATTCTTTCTAGCCATAAAAAATGACAGGCAATTTAAAGCTGGCGGTGATCAGCTGAAATAGGTGCCAAGGCATCTTTTAAACATGGTTCATACACAATAAAATGTTCTATTTTTTGGAAGATGCTATGCTTGTGAATATTGCTGTGATAGAGAATATCCCATACTCCCAAACCTGAAGAAGAGAAGGATTGCTTTTCTTGTGCAGAATGAGCATAGCCTTTTCTTTGTTGAATCTTTTCTGGCATATAATGGAGTTTGTTCCTAATAGAAGTTGTTCATAGCCTTAAAGATCTTTATAAAAAGGCAACTTCAGAGGGATTGTTTAGTAGGTGCATTTTGTTAACCAATTAAGACCCAGCCAGATAATCTATTTTTAATCTGCTGAAAGCCTTTTGTTTAGCTGCCTTAATTCCATGTATTACTTTGGAATGAACTTTGTGCTTCGGAGTCAAAGAATCAGACACCCTACCTAAGGAGGTATAAAGGCTAAGGTACTGAATATAGATCATAGAGATCCAGGTTCAAATCCACAATCAATCATGTAACATACCCTGCGATTCTGGGCCAATGACTGTAGCTAAGTTTAGGCATCACAGCAAACCATGGACCCCAAACTATGATTTGTACTTCCAAGCAATGCAACAAACTAGATGAGCTTTTGGATGGCCATCTTTTTTCAGTTTCAGGTCAAAAGGACTGTCACAGTGGATTGTCAATTTGAAAAATATGTGATGTCATAATGGAGACAAACCATAGTTTCAGATTCAGTCTTGATACCATTTGTGGTGAGCTTGGGCATCATGTCAAAGCATAGTTAATCTTCCATCATCCCTGTTTGTAATTGAAATATCTGGAAGACACCAGTTTGTGTACCTTTGGCTTACATGTATACACATAATGTACACTGGACCATAGCATGTAATGATTAAAGTCAAACATGTGTACTTGGTTCTGGCAAGGTGAACTATGCTCAGTTTTTCAAGAGAGATTGTGGGGAGAAGGCTTAGGAATGCCTGCATGTTGTTAGTGCTGATGGGGCAAGTACGGGAACACAGATAGGGTTGATTTAATTTTAAGAATAACAATAGTTTTGACTAGGCTTCTTCCAAATGAATAGCCCTGCAGGTCCTGCGTATAACAACTCTTGCTTTCACTCTGGAGCATCAACTCACTCAATTGTTCATCCTGTGAATTGCCCTCTGCTTCTGCAATTAATGCTTGAATGCATTACCCCTATAAAATATGTTGGTGATGACACTTTTTAAATTTTGCTGGATAGTTTATCATATTTTTGTCTTGCCTTGCATTGCTAGTGACATGTTTAGCTTTGGCAATGTCCTTTTGTTGTTATATTGCTCTTGTGAGAGACAGCACTTTTTAATAAAACTCGGTTATTTTGTTTTGTACACAGGTTTCTTCATTAGGCCTTTTTACAAGATGATGTTAGGAAAACCGATAACCCTGAAAGATATGGAGTCAGTGGTAAGTGAACACCGAAAAAACTTATTAGTGTGTTCAGTTATGCACATTTCTTCTCTGGGGAAATTATTAAATGCCAATATTCCCTGGAAGCTTCATGGGTTCAGGCACAATGCTACTGCTGAGAGATCTGGGACAAATGTGCCACTTAGCTTTCTTTAATGTAGCATTTTCATCCACTAAGGTAGCAATTTGAAGTCCTGAATACAATTAGATTCAACAGGAAAAGATGAATGTAATTATTTTTGGTAGTTTTTCTTCATTCTTTTTTATATTTATTTTTTCTTTAGAATTGAAAGCTTAGTCGCTGCCTCAAGCAGTTCTCTTACAGAAAATATAAACACACTGGGTTTTATTAAATAAAGTTTATTTTAGTAAAGGATAAAAAATCTAATTATTGTGCTTAAGCTCAGGAGGTTTGTGTGCATATTCATATCTGGCAGAGCAGCCTTCCCCAACCAGATGCCTTCCAGATGTGTTGGACCACCATTCCCAGCATCTCCTGGCCAATAAAAGGGCAAACAAACGTAAACAGAGGTCTGGTAGGGAGGGGAGGGAAGAGGGGAGAATGATATGGGTCAGCATTCATAGGTTTTTTTCATTTTCAGGTTATAAAGGTGCCATAAACAATATACCTCTGTGTTCAGCTATGTGCTGAGTTGGTTTAAGCTGGCCATAAAACTCAGTAAGAATCACATTTCTGTTACTGATGATATGTAGCTTGTTTCTATATGCGAGTGACAAAAGATAAACACTGCAGAAAATCAGCATGGAAGAATAATAGGAGAAATACATCCGATACATTCATGGCATACAGTATGAATATCATGTGATTACCATATTGCATATTGAGAGACTCTTTCTTTGCTCACATGTCATCAGAAGCTCTAAATGGCCAGCATGCCCTATGGGAGTTGTAGTTGGCACGTAAGAAAACTGGGATCCCACATAGTCAGTGATCCACAGCTGTTATCACTGCCTTGCTGTGAGACATCTTGAGAAGATGTCTCACAGCAAGGCAGCGATAACAAGAGCATTTACCTAAGTGACATTCACTGGAATGTTTCTTTTAACAGATGTGTTGTGCTTTTAAAAGATGATTAATGAAAAGCAATGCTGTTTGTTTTAGGACAGTGAATATTACAACTCCTTGAAATGGATTCTGGAAAATGACCCTACAGAGTTGGATCTCATGTTTTGCATAGATGAAGAAAACTTTGGACAGGTATGTAGGAATTGTTCTAATCCAGTGCACCGATTGTTCTCTAAGACGTTGGCCTTCGGTACATATTTAACAGCGCAGTGTCAGCTGCTGAAGTGTATGACTGCTCCTAAAGATTTGTAGTCCAGCTCCAGTTTCTGGGAGCCATGGCCGGGAGGGCACTTGTGCACTCCTGCCCTACTTGCGGGTTTCCCACAGGTAGCCGATTGCTACTGCGAACAGAATGATAGACTAGGTAGATGGACCTTGGTGTGAGCCAGCAAGGCTCCTCTTAAGTTCTTACCAAGTCCTTGGATCAGCTCATAAGACTTTCTTGCATATGCTTAAGCAGAAACTCATTTTGTGGTTGATTTATTTTTGCATATATACATCAACAAAAAGTTGCCCCCTAGCATGTCAGCTTGGGCTGATTGTTTTTTCCAGGATAAATTGGCAGAGCTTCTTATGCAACCTGAACAAAGAATAATTAACAACTTGAAATAAAAGAGCACTACAAAAAGAGCTCGTAGAATGAAGGAGAAGAGGTTATATGGAAGAGGAAATGAAAAGGGTTCAGAATTTGAACAATCCAGTTCCTAGTAAATGTGATGGAAGTTAATTTTGCAGCTCTTTTACATAGCACCTTAGTAGAACAATGAAGTTGTAGCAGGGCTAAAATGACAAAGCCACTTTTGAATAAGCTGTTAAAGGTCAGCAGAAGCCTAACTTTGCCCCAAATCTTAGTTCTTCACATCTTTTTAAGAGGAAACTGCAGTTTCATGATAATCAGAAACTACTCTATTTATTCCAGCAAGATTTTTACACATTGCTGGGCTTCATGGGATTTAAAGATTTGATTTTATTTTGATGAGATTACTAATGAATTAAGCAAGTTTTTTCCTGCTGTAGCTCAGTTCTTGACCTGCAAATTTTTCATAAGCTCTGGATTTAAACTGGCTTTGTTTTAACGTGGTTTCTAACACAAACCTAGATGTGCTCAAAAACAGATTAGAGCTTTCTTTTTCTTTATCATCCTCATGAAGAGGTTTCCATATATGACACACAAAACACAATAAGAGCTTATTGGCCCCCACAACGTTAATTCCAGTGTTAGTCTAATTTAAGTCCCATTCATTTCAGTGGATGTGTTCTAACTAGGACTAATATTGGATATAACTCAATGTTATGGATAAAATGGCCTTCATGAATACACCTTAAGCAAATGTCATCTCAGCATCCATGTTCCTCCAAACCAACTACAATTTTAAGACATTGAAAGATGCTTCGCATCCCCTTATCATCAAGAGGAGCAGTTGCAGCTGATTTAAACCTGTTTTAGCCTCCAAAGAGAGGCTATGGTACAGTCCCAGTTGGGGGGGGGGGGAATTAGGGTGGCAAAAATGAGCTTATTTTTAATATATAGGAAAGGATCTTTCAGTCTTTTAGAGTAAGACCTTTTGTAGAAGATTGTAGTGCATGGTAGATGTTCATGAATGAAAAGTTTTTGCTTCATTTCTGCCTTGCTTTGCTGCAACTTTCTCTAGATAATGTATGCTTTAGGGCCTTCATTTGAGTGTCAGGATTCTTTTGAAGGCTTCTAATAACTGGTAAGCTTCACTGGCATTTGGTTTAACAGTGAAGTAGTTCCACAGACATCAGTAGAAATATGGGCTGTAAAAAGTCCTTTGGATGCCCCTGTCCTCACTGTGAAGACAATTTGACATGTTTTTATTTGGTATGATCCCTATCCATTTGTTTTCTGGCATGGTGTGTTCATGATACAAAGAATGGAAATCTGCCATTCTGTATTTTACTTTAAATGTGTTGCCATAATAACGTTAATTTTGAATACTTAAGCTGGAATTTTCTATCATAGTCATAGAACAAAAAGTACAAGCAAATGCAAAATACTGGTTTGTTTGTTAGCGTTATGCTTCCCAGAACTTTTATTTCATTTCCATTATGGGAAAAGGGGAAAATCTTGTGCAAATGGATTCTTGTTTATAGAAGTGAGATGTAATTCAAGAGATAAATTTTTTGCCGGTTCACAAAATTAGAAATGTACTGGCGGGTCTTATCGACAAGCATATCTGTTTTGGTGTATACCATACAACCTTCCCACCTGAGAGAAGGGCTACTGGTTTTCAAGGAAAAGATGGTCTGAAGTAAATGGATTGTAGATATGTGTAAGGTATGTGTCTACAGGCACAGAATATGCAAACTAGTAAATTGTACTGCCAAATGTTTCTTAAAGATGGCTTATAGCTAAGTGAGTTAGACCACTTTCCCTTTCTTTTTACTAAGTTTAACCTATTTTCTTTTTTCCCCATTGGTCCTAAATTCTTGTGGAGCTCTAGTTAGGTGTGTGTACACACATAATTTGGGATCTTTAACTAACTCCCTATGCACCATGTTTTCCCCCTTCTGCTTAGAGGAATTGTGTATAATTTGGCTTATTTGTTCTTTCGTGTTACTGTCATGTCCTATGGACAGTATCTTGTGGCTTTGTTTCTTGCATGGGGCTTCTTCAGGCTAATTATTGTTGAACTCTTGCACATGAGTTTCCTTTCATTAGCGTGTAAACTTTTGCACCATTTTCATGCTTTTAAGTGACCCATATAGCATTTTTGAACACAGAAAGAATGCATTAAAAGCAGTGCATTGTTTTGTTCTCATATGCATTCTAAGCTTTTTTGCCAGGTGGGGTTCCTCCACTCTTCCTAGTTGAATATGTTCTGGTAGAAAGTGTCCATACAAGCAGAAGAAACTCTTTATTAGTTTGTTTGATTTTTTTTAAAAAGGGAACTAGTCCACTTTTTAAAAACTCTACTGCAATTGACATGTAATCCTAACTGTTTTGACTGCATGGATGAGAGGGTAGCTTTTTTAAAATCCAACACAATTTTCACAGATGTCTACCTGGTGTATAGCCTCCAGTGTCTTCATTTGCTTTAGCTTGATTTATTACTGATAATAATAAATAGCTTTGACAAAACAAATGTTATCCCATGCAGCAAGAGCGTTGTCTATTTTTGTGAATAGCTGCCATTTCCCTAAGTATTACCGCACCTTATCTTGGTTTCTGTTCTGTCACATCTTTCATTGTTTCTAGGAATAGTAGTCATTTAGCCTTAGAATGATGGAAAACAGAAGACTGAAAAGGAACCTGTTGAGTTCTCTGTATCCATGATGGGTGATGTAAAGATGTAGTCTTTACATGGTTTTGTGGATGGATTTGACCTATGCCACCTGTGTTTTTCTGTCTTTCTAGTTTATGGCCAAAATTGGCCATCTGAGTATTTTATAGGGCTGAAAAGCACCTTTGCCTCCACAGTTTTCCTGCTTTGCATTGGATGCCTGTAATCCTCTATGTGTAGTAATGGGCATCTGAATTGGACTGTGAGCTTAATGGACCTTTCCTTTAAAATCCGCATGGATTTTATAATGTAAACATGCCATGCACATGCCTTCATAGAATCATTACACATCTTAAAATATTGAAAAGACATGTTGAAAACATCCTTAAGGGGCATTTCATGCATTCTGCAGGGGCAATCCCAACTTTGCCCCAAATGCAGTATCTTAAAATACTGCAAGAGGGGAGCTGCAATCAGTCTCGAAAGGCGTGTCTGTGTGCTTCCCAGGGTTACAAATGCATGCTTTCTTATTCCTACTTGGCATAATTAGTTGAATATCTAAATATGTAATGTAGCTGTCCAATTGTCTACTTTGCATTATGCAAACTCCTTGAGACAGGAACCTGCCTGTCTTTATATTACATTATTCTGTAAGACTGCTGAGTGTGTTGACAATGCTAAATAAATAAGTATGTGCCTCAAACATAGCAGCCTTTATCAGCAGGGGGCCTCTCAGTTGCAAGAGGCGTTCGTCTGCTTGCTTATTTTTGGCTTGCTGGGGCCAATTACGTAGGTGTTCTTGATGCGTTTTATCCCGGGACCATTGCAGAGTAGCTGTGTTCGGTCTGAAGAGATGCCAAACAGCACAGGCATTCCAAGAGCAGGGAAACCAAGCAGCATTCATGTCCCCACTGAACAGTGTTAATTCCTTTATAACTAAGCAGATGGCGCACCAATCTGTCAACTTATAATGAATGTGGTGTCTAATTCTAATTTTCAATTACCCAATGGCAGTTTACCCTTCTTGAAATCATCTTAGAGTATGAAACATTTTGACAATCAAAATACAAGTCTCCATTGGTATTTTATCCAGCTATCACATAAGATACATTAAAATTACCAAGAGCTTATTCATGAGAAAATGCTGTAATAAATTGCTATCTCCTAAGTGTAGCAGTGGGGGATTTTTTTACATATTTCTACAGAATCAGTAATTTTTTGTCTTTCTATTTGTATTCACAGACATATCAAGTTGACTTGAAGCCAAATGGATCAGATATCATGGTCACAAATGAAAACAAAAGGGAATATATTGAGTAGGTATCAATATATTTATTCAGTTTAAAATGTGTAAACATTTTAGTAGTTTGGCTGTTGAAATGAGGCTTCAAGATGACTTCAGCAGAAGCCATTCCAGAGTAAATCCTTTCTGTTAGCAATTGTAGATTCAGACATCACAGCTCCATAATTAAGATTTCTTGAAGAAGGAAGTTAATACTACCGTTAAAGATAAGTAATGTGTCCAATTCTTGAGCAACTATGGATTTTCTTATTGTTGGAAGTCCCTTGACATGGAACTGATAACATGCCAAAATGTGCATGACTACTTCCTTACCAAAATTTATGCAGAACTTGAAGCCCTAAGGTTCAGGTATCTTTACTGCAGTGGCCTAGCCATAGATCAAACAATCACTTCTGCTTTCTCCCACAATTTAATTTTTTAATCCTCAAATCCTTTCTGTACTATTCATGAAGAGATTTGCAAATGTTGTTACATTCATGTAAAAAACAAACAAAATTCTCATTCATCTGCACCAGTTGAGTTCAACCAGTGCAGCTATTTTGCCATCCTTGTAGCTGATCTAAACAATTGAAGTCCTCTGCCTAAATGGTCAAATATGATCAGTTAACTTTCCTCCATATTCTAATTTTTATTGCAAGCTCTGTATGTCCCATTTTTGAAAAATTAGCAAGTCCTGGTAAGGTCTTATCAAAATGACTGAAGAAAATGCTCACTCCTCCCAGTAGTTGACTCGCTGGGCCAAGTTGGATGATCGCAGGATGGCTGGCAAGGTTCCGTGTGTGGCTTATTCGGCACCCCGTGTTGCGTGCCAGCCAGATTTGGATACTTATCCTTGATGACGCAGTTTCCCGTGTGAACCCAGCAGGAGTGATTTGTTGGGATAAGTAATGAACCCGCAACCCTACATCTACCATGGGTTCTCGGTGGTTTGTTAGTCACTCCAACACACCAGGTCCACATAACGTAAGAAGCTGTGCTGGTGAGCAAAATTATGCAAATATGGCTGGCAAGCAACCCATGGTAGCTTAGCTGCTCCGCTAATCATCCAGACTGGCCATTGTCGGCATGGGTGAGAGTTTCATTCTGTTGTTGTTTCAATAACACATGCTTGAATTGCCAGCTGAAGTATAGTTGTGTCCAATGTGTTGCTGCTAGTAGATGAGCTAAACCAGGAGAAAAAATCCTAGAAAATTTAGAAATGTAGTGGTAGGTCTTAATAGTTCAGCATAGCTGTTTTTGTGTACACAGTACCTGGAATCTACCATGCAGCCACTTTAAAGAAGTACATACTGCTGGCTTTAAAGGAACAGATAATTTGAAGTAAATTTGTTTTAGATGCAAGGCCTATGTCTACAAATATGTACAAATATATAATATGCAAACTAGTGAGCTGTAGCTCCATTGTTCCATAAAAGATGCTTATAGCTAAGTGAATAAGCAGAAGGCAGACCACCTTCACTTTCTCTAGCATCCCTTTCTGTAGATTCTCTTTTTTCTCCCTATTCCCAGAGCCCCACAGGAACATTTGGAGTTGGTCACTAACTCCCTATGCACCATATTTTCCCTTCCACTTAGGGGAATGGTATTTAATTTGGCTTATTTGTTCTACCTGTGTTGTTCTTGTGTGGCTTTTTTTCCCTTATGTGTAGTTTCTCCAGGCTTATTATTATTATTATTATTATTATTATTACTATTATTATTATTATTATTATTATTATAACATTTCTATGCCGCCCCTTGCCGAAGCCTCGGGGCGGCTTACAACACAATAAGATATATTGAAATACAATAGAACATAATAAATTACCACTAAATACAAAAATACAAAAAATACACTGAGATACAATAATATAAAATTAAAATTAACAGTATAAAATAAGTAAATAAATAATATAGGAGGAAAAAAGAGAAGGAAGAAGAAGTTGCCCTGGTCAGATCATATATTTTAACAATTAAAATGATGTTTAAATAAAAAGGTCTTTACCTGGCGCCGAAAAACCAGTAACGACGGTGCCAGGCGGACCTCTTTGGGGAGTGAATTCCATAGGTTGGGTGCCACCGCAGAGAAAGCCCTCCTCCGAGTACTTACTCTCCTAATTTCTTTCATGGAGGGTTCCCGGAGAAGGGACTCTCCCGCAGATCTCAAGGGGCGGTCGGGCATATACGGACGTAAGCGCTCGTTCAGGTAGCCAGGACCCAAGCCATTTAGGGCTTTATAGGTCATAACCAACACCTTGAATTGGGCCCGGGCTTCAGTGGGAAGCCAGTGAAGCTGACGGAGGACTGGAGTCATGTGAGCATAACGCCCCGTCCCCGTCAGCAACCTGGCAGCTCTATTTTGCACCAATTGAAGTGTTCGGACCATCTTCAGGGGAAGCCCCACGTAAAGCGCGTTACAGAAGTCTAGGCGGGAAGTCACCAGCGTGTGTGTCACCGTCGCCAGGCAGTCGTACTCCAGGTAGGGGCGCAGCTGATTAATCAGCCGAAGCTGAAGGAAGGCGCTCCTCGCCACCACTGTCACCTGAGCTTCCAAAGAAAGCTCCGGGTCGAGAACTCTTGCACATTAGAGTTAGCTTTCATTAGTCTGTAATCCTCTGCATCATTTTCATTTTTGTGCCTTTAAATGACTGGTGATCATCAAATGAATGATTTAGAATCAGTGCATTTTTTGTTCTTGTATGCACTCTAAGCTTTTTTGCCAGGTGGTGTTCCTCCCATGTTCCTAGTTGAATTTGTTCTGGCAGAAAGTGTTTATCAATCAGTAGAATAGATTAATCTCTTTTTTACTTTGCTTGCTTTTTAAAGGAAGAAACTAGTCCACATTTCCCTTTAACTTTATTTTATTTTAGTCCATCCAGTTTTCACAAATGTTCATCTAGTGCATACCTTTAATTACTGCTATTGTAATGTATTCATTTAATTTTATGTTGCCTTGTTTTCATAATAATGTGTAACTCAGCAAAAAGGAGAGAAATAATGGCTGAACTCTTCGAACTATTATGCATCTGCTGTGCCTTGTTCACCACCCTTCACATGTGGGTCACGTGTGGGCTCGATTTACATAATTACCTTCACTGTCATGGCTTCTCGTGTCATGTGGAGACAGTGAGGATGGCTTTTTCAAGCTGGTTACCAACCACCCAGAATGCATGAGTTGTTAGGGAGTTGTGGGGTTGTTACCCAGCTCAGCAAATGACCCTGGCCAGGTTTGCATTGCAGAAGATGCTGCAGCAACAAGGGCAGGTATCAACAAATCGGTGAACCAGGCCGCTGAGCAGTTCGGACCGGTCATTACATTCCCTGCATTTTGGATTGAAATCAGAATAGTTATTTTTAATGGAACTTCAGCTTTGGTTTCTTTTTAAAAAATAAAATCACGTATATGTGGATTTCACTATGTCAAGGATCTGAAAGTATTATGTACATTTAAAACTAATTTATGAAAAAAGATAGCTTGGAGGCAACCTTTATTGACTTTCCAGAATATGAAAAGCCAAAGCACATTTTGAGTTCCATGGAACTTTCCCTCTAAGGTTTGTTTTGTTTTAAAAGAACAGCAGCCACTAGAGGCTGTTATCAAGGTAATATATGTGAGGTGCAAGTTTCAGAAGAAAAATAGCCAGTGAACTAAGCAATGCTAGAAACAGCCTGTATTGACTGCTTTTGTTAGAAATAAAATGGTAGAAAGTGACATGAAACTCAGTGGTACGTGTGCTTTGGCCTTAACTCTTAAATATGGATATGTTAACAAGAAGCACCCTATTTGAAGCCATTTTTAAATAAAGTTATTTTTATTTTTCTTAACCTTAATATAATGAAAGAAGCTAATTACCAAAGGAGCTGAAAGAACAATTTCATGGATTCCCTGCATGACGCACCATCTATAAACATTCATAGTTAATATAAAATAGAGTTATATAGTAGCGTTAGAGACCTGTATAGCAGAGTCACCTTTAAAGCATATTTGCAAAGCTCTTTAAATATAAATATCTGTGTCCTTTGAATTGCTGTTTTATCCTCATTGGTAATTTTCCTTAACCATTTCCTTGGTTTCCCCAGGGAAATTGCAGAATTAATGAAAAGCCCTGTGCCTTGTGAGGGAACAGCAGTTGGAAGGGAAGAACTGCATTTGCCTCATTTGTTCCTTTTGCATTCTATCTCAGTTTGATGAAAAATTATTGAAGCTCTAAACGGGAAGCCAGAAGAAACATTAGGGTGTTAAGAGATTTAAATGATCTCTCATTTTTCTAATCAAAGTGTTGCTTTTTCTTGTGTACTCTAGCTTAGTCATCCAGTGGAGGTTTGTCAACAGGGTTCAAAAGCAAATGAATGCATTTCTGGAGGTAAGCTGCTTCATTAGCCTCTTGTCTAATGCTTTAAATATCCCATTTTATGGTTTTATGATCATAAATTGCTTGAAATTGATGGCTTTTTAGCAAGAACAGCAGTATATAAATGTCATTAAAACATAAAAGTGGTCTTCTGGCGCTTGGCCTATGTTACTAGTTCTGACTAGATTTTGCATTTTTTACTTGAAAGTTAGGTTGGCTTCTAAAGCATGCATCAAAGCAATATCAACTGTGTATGAAGCATAGGAAGCAGTATCTGAAGCGTGAAATTTCAGGGGCACAATCAACAATACTGCACTCACTCTGTGCGTACTTTGGGATGTCTTAGTAAGACCATCTTCCTTCCTTCCCTCTCTGCACATTGAGGGAGAGGATGGAATATTAGGTATCTGTGCAGGAGTTGCAGACCTGCCTTCTGTCCTGAAAAATTGCTATTTAAGTGTAAGTTGCAGATGAGGAAGAGGAAGGTGAAAAGACAACTATCCAGAACCCTATTGAGTGCTATGCCAACTGCCCTGTCCAGGTGGTGTTTGTGCCCTTTGAGTCAGAGAGAATGATTGAGGATAAAGAGATAAAGATACTATTTTTAGTATCTCATGGCTACATGTGCTTTTTTATTTCATGATAAAGATAGCCAGAAAATCCAGGTTTCTTAATTGTTTCTTGCCTGCTTATACTGACATTTCAATCTTGGAAAGACAGCATTTCATCCCAAACATGTTCCCCAAGCCCCCTCATTGCTGTCTATTAAAAAATTACTTATGCCAAATAATTTTTCCCATTAGGGGCTGAACTCATTATTAAGGCATGCTGTAAACATGCAACAGAATGAGGTGATATGGCAGAAAGACTGTACACTTTGGAGTGTGAGTAGGGAATGCTATTTTTCAAGTGTTCCTCCATCTGAAAACCTTCCTTCAAGTAAGGAAGCGCAGCAGGATCTGAGGTTCCAGTCAAATTTGCCTCTTTCCTATGCTGCTTTTGTCCTTGGAGTTATCCATTTATTTTAAATGCAGGGAAACATTGAAAAATACAACCCTTCGCCTGTTTTCTGAAGTAGTTCAGGTCATCCTACCACCTGAATTGCTGTACTGCTCCTTCAGTTGCACAAGAAGAGCAGGCCTGAATCTTTACATTTGGGGGGCAACCAGATGCACACGTTGGAACATCCTTTACCCAGGCAATGGGAGACGCTGCGCATGATTGTATTGGAAGGCTGGTTCAGATTTAGTTTGGCTCCCAGCTCTTAGTCCAGTGCGTTCCAGGCTAGCTACTACTGTTTTCCATGCATCAGGCTACTCGTTTGCTGCCCATACATATTGCAGGACTATGTAGGGATGGGACGAACCTTGCCAGAATCCATCCCTCCAAGAATCACAGGCTTCCTCTTGTGCTTGACCCAGTGCTCCAGAGAGAGCTGATCTGAGAGGAAGTCCATGAAAACTCGCCAAGCCCTGGCGCATAGCCAGCAACCTTCTTCCACAGCAGCAGCAGCAGCCCAAAGGGGACACACTGCTTGTGCCGTGGCTTGGGGGGAGCGTTCCTGGGGGCACCCTGTGACCCAGGGCCCCAGGGCCAGTTTTCTTCAGTGTGAGGAGAAGCCACTGTGAGCAGCTGCTTCCACCACACTTGGAACGTGGCTCCTAGCAGCACCTGTGATGCTGGGCACACTCAGGAACTCAGACTCTGGGCCTGCACAGAGTGGGCCGGAGTCCAGAGAGCCAAGCCCAAAGGCTTCCCAGCCGCACCCGGATTCTTCACACACCCCTAGAACCACGGCTGTCTGTCGTAGCGGATGCAGTTCAGATCTCTATAGCAACTGAAAGCTCCATGCCTGAATAGTTTAGCTGTGCATCCAACCCTGGACCTCTGGCTTGTCTTTCCTCTGACAAGCCAGAGAAACCGCTCATGGTTTAGCAAGTTCTTTAGCCACAGCTGTGTGCAGAAGGAACAAGGTGCAGCAAGTTGTGGGTAGGGATGATGACATACAGACTGGGACATGGGCTGTTCCAGCAGGTGAAGAAGCAGGCCATTTTTTTCAGGCCGCCACAGTTTCGTATTGCATGAATAACCCTGGAATGGAGCAAGAGGGTGTGGCAAAACTGTGCACCTGGCGTGAACCCAGTAGCATCCCCACACCACCCGTGGCAACTGTTTTGTGGTGCTCACATTAGGTCATGCTGATTACCCTCTGTGAAGTCTTAGAAAGCAACCCAAGTTCTAGAGATTAGAAGCTATCGGTTGCACCCTTCCACTAGATTGCTGTATTTCTCTCTAAACTGGTTTGTAAATTTAAGGAAAGCTTTGTGGTCTACAACATTAAGACCTGACACCCAGCCTTATTTATAGGAAAGACATCAAAATCATTAAATAATGTATTTGTTCTCTTCTCTCTTTTTCTCTACCCCCCCCCCACCCCAATCTCAGGGTTTCACAGAACTCCTGCCTACTGACTTGATTAAAATTTTTGATGAGAACGAGCTGGAGGTTAGTTGCCTTTTATTTTTGTCTTCCTTTACTCTTAAAAGAAGCATTTTCTTCTAGAATGTTGACAGAGCAATTGGTTATAGTGTTCAGGAGGAAAAATAATAATTCTATTGTCAAATTTCGTAAAGGTGCTTCATTGTGTACATAACTGTCAGCAACCAAGCAAGTCCCTTGACTTTCTTAGGACTTCCTAATAATACATGAGCAATTACATTTGACCAGCACCTCAAAAGGCTCTAGTCCAGCCAAGCACTAATGCATTTTGATTTTCCTGATACATCAAAAAAAGGTCATCCAATCTTTCATCTGTTCACTCAGAGGGAATCCCATTAATTTCACCAGCCACTAGCATTAGCCACAAAATGTAAAGATTATCTTCTCTTAATTCCTTAAAATTTATCATTTTTCTAAGTTTTATTTTAACTTTCCAAAATTTGTACAGAACATTTAGCAAACTACTTTTTTAATTATTCAGAAGATTAGGCTGCAGTCCTGGGCCCATTTTCCTGATCTAAGTCCAAGTATTCATTTACAGTGCAATCCTATGAAGGTAACCCTACGGAAATTAGTGGGAGTTTGCTCCCAGATAAATGGATAAAAGTTTTCAGCTTTATCAATTGGTGCTACCAATGTAGATTAATGACTGCATACAAGATGGAGCTTTTTCATTATTAATATTAATGAACCACTGTTACTATGTAAACCTATTGAAGAAAGAAAATGAAGAAAGTGGCTACACTTGTTAGCCATTGTTTAAGTTGTCCTGAGTGATTTGGCCAAAACAAGAGTACATAAATAAAATAGGTAATTAATAGAAAATAATTGGTTAAGATGATGACTTATTACATTTAAATCCTTCTTCCCATCTCTTGTAATGCCTCCCCTCTGAAAACGGGAATGTTTCAGCCATGTAGATTGTATTGGGCCACAAAATCAAACATGATTACTAAAGAGTAAGTCTACTGAATACAGCAAGACTTGCTTTCAAGTAAACATGCATTGGATTGTGCGGTTAGTAATGGTTACTACATGTCTTAGTATACCTTCTAACCTTGCTCATACTGTCACCAAATTGGCCCTGAAAACTCAAGGGAAAATACATTTAGATATTTCATATTTGTAGAATCAAATCTGTCAATTCTGCAAAACTTTAGTGGAAAGGAAAGAATATTTCATCTGAATGTACTGTTATCTCTTAACTTTAGTAAGATTCACAAAAAACAAAGGCTCCCATGTTAGTCATAAAGTTCCAAAATCTATATCCATGTAATAACTTGATTCAGCCACACACACACACACACGATGTATATTTCAATAAGACTGTTTTAACATAGCAGGAAACTTGGGATGGCAGGATCCAAGAAAACACTAGTTGCTCATAGTACAGTGATGGCAAACCTTTTAGAGACCGAGTGCCCAAACTGCAACCCAAAACCCACTTATTTATCCCAAAGTGCCAACCCTGCAATCAAACCTGAATACTGAGGTTTTAGTTTAGAAAAAACAGCTCACAGGCAGTCCAAGCAAATATACATATGTCCTTGGCAGCGCACTGACCCACTTGCAAAAGCTCAGACAAGTCACGGCTGATGAGTCATGGCTCGTGATGCCATCAGCTGGTGCCACTACTGCTTTCCAAGCTGCACATGGCCCCTGTGTACGCTGTTATCTGATGCTCGGCTGCTGGGGCAATGCTGGGGCAACTTGGCTCACGTGCCAATAGGGAGGGCTCTGTGTGCCTGCTGTGGCACGTGTGCCATACGTTCGCCCCCAATGTCATCAGTCTTTGTTGTGAACCCTCAAACAATGTTCATGTATTTACAGTTGCTCATGTGTGGTCTTGGTGATGTTGACGTCAATGACTGGAGACAACATGCAATCTACAAGAATGGATACTGTCCAAACCATCCTGTCATTCAGTGGTTCTGGAAGGTAGTACTATAATTCACAGGATAAACTGTGTGTTTTTTCTTCCCTGACGTCTTCCTGGTTGCATGTACTAAAACAAGTATTGATCTCTGATGACTTCTTAACGTAAACGAGTGTTCTTGAGAAGCCCTCCGTCCATTTTGATTTCAATGTCAGTTATAAATCCCTGATGTAAAATTAAGCAGGTGGGTGTGAGAGTCACATCTTTAAAGCATCCATAAGCTTAATGTCTGCTTTATAGGCTGTCCTCCTGATGGATGCTGAGAAGCGTATCCGACTGTTGCAGTTTGTAACTGGGACGTCACGAGTGCCTATGAATGGATTTGCTGAACTTTATGGTGAGTTGATTTGCAAGTGACTGAGATGCTTTCTGATAGCTTAGGACAGTATATTCTGGAAACATGGATTCTTACAAGCAGGGCCAGCCTACAGTGTTTTGCTGCCTGAGGGAGAGACCAGACAGTGCTCGTTCCCATTCCTTGTTCAAAAGCTGTGAATGGACAAGCAGCTGAATTTTTGTTTAAGGAAAACCAGCGTGGTGTATTGGTTAAGAGTGTGGGACTGGGACTCCGGTGACCTGGGTTCTGCTCCCTGCTTGGTGCCAACCAGCGTGACTTTGGAACAGTCACAGACTCTCAGTCCAGCCTACCTCACAGAATTGTTGTGGTAATAAGATTGAGAACAACAGGGGAGAATGATTTAAGCTGCTTTGAGCTCATAAGAAAAAAGTGGGATAAAATCTAATAAATAAAATAACGCTAGCAGTGGGACAGCACCTTCCACTACACCTTAGAAGCAGCGGGTTAGCTGAGGAGTGCAGCCCAGAGCTTCTTCCTCCCACACTTGCTGCATCTTCCACCTGAGATCACTGCCTCACTCTGCCTACTGGAGGACCAACCCTGTTTACAAAACTAGTGAATGTATCCTCTCCCCCGTCCGTATGCTACGTACATCCATGTGGAAAGATGGCTTTAGTTAAAAGTACAAAGTCTACCTTGTACTGTTCACTAGTTTTCTGCTTAGTATGGGTTAAGGATGTAGACCAGGTTTAGTCACAGAGAACCTCCACAAAGGAAACTATCTCAGAAGGAGCAAAACCTCAGAGCAGAACTACACGTAACAAGGCAAGCCCATATTGCTGTGCAAGTCTCTGTCTGCTTTATAATTGGGGGGGGGGAATTTATGCAGAAGAAGCAGTGAGCATCGGGGGTGTGGGGGCGGATGAACCTTTTCCTACCTATTTATCATCGCCAGCAAATGGTCCCTTGGCAGTTTTAAAGCTAATCTTGGGCTTTTCAGGCCACTGTTGCAGTTTACTGCTGAAAGTCTGCAGCAAGCTGCAATGGTTTCGCTGCTGCAGTGACAAATTCAGGGGCAGTGGGGGGCTGCATTTGATGTTCTGTGGGCCACACACTACCCACCCCTGCAGTATGGCAACCCAGTGGAGGCTGCTCACCCCATTGTGCAAAACAGATCTTGGCCTGATCCTGGCAGAATGGAAGCTGGCCCAGAGGTTGTTTTCTCCAGCTTTTAAAGTGCTCATGGACTTGGGCTCCAGCTCAGCAAGTCATGGGTTCAGCAAGTCTGCAGTTGTTGCTCCTGGTTGCTCTTCCTTTCCCTGTCAGAGTACGTGCACTCACTTTGGTCACGGAAATGGTGCATCTATATGTAGGAGCTGCTCACACATCATGGTCAGATGGAGTGTTGCTGATGGAGACTAATAGATTGTCATATTTCCAAGCAGTATCTAAAGTGCATTTTTCCATTCATGTGTTTCTGCTCTTGATCCAGGTTCAAATGGTCCTCAGCTGTTTACAATAGAGCAATGGGGAAGCCCTGATAAATTACCCAGAGCTCACACATGGTAAGTAATGAACACCAACCATTACCTTATTTGTGAAGGTTTACTCTGGTTCCATCTGAATTAAGTATGTGGAAGTTGTTTTCAGCAGCATGTACTGAGTTTCCTTCCTCACCTATTTTCAGTTTTTGTTAACTTTCATACATTAGACTTGCATATTAATGAATTCAAAATGCAAATAGGAGAAGGTTCCTGATGTTAAGTTCCCATCTCGTTTGATGTGATCAGCAACAGCAATGGAATCTGTGGCTATTTGGGAAAATTCCAATGTCGCCTCTGTATCCTGTATCTCTGTGAGGGCGCATCCCTCTCAGTCATGCCCTCAAGGCTCAGAAGCTTTCAAACATAGAACCTTTCAAGCATCCAGTGCAGAGAGGGATGCGCAATCTCGCTGCTCCTTCCAGGCTACATTTTGGCTAAGCAGCCATTTTCAGCCATCCAGCGGAGGCGCTTCAGCCGAGGAGAGAGGGATGATGTGCCATCAGAGTGGTCCATATCCCAGTCTCTTTCCCAGCCTCAGAGAGGCAGCCAGGACCTTTCCTTCTGTACTGGCTGCAAGGGGAGGACCGCAACATGGATTCCCAGCTCTCCGCTGGAGTCCTGTTTCCAGCACTTGACATGATAATCCGAAGTACCCCAGGGCAAAATGCAGTCTGCAATGCCAGAGCAATCTGGGTAGAGAAGAATTACAGTTACAACTCGGTTCTGCTTTTTGTTGGTAATATTTCCTTTTTATTATTACTTATTTAAAATTCTTTTACCCCGCCCTTTCTCCAAATTGAGCACAGAGCAAGCAAAGAAATTAGTAAGCAACCAGAACATCATCCTTTCACACTAAAACAGTTAAAATACAGCAATAATCACTTATCCTAAAATGCAAAAACCAACAAGTCAGGAGCACAAATGCTTGTATAAATAAAGTTGTTTATCTTTGCTTTAAAATAGCTGTCACTGTTTTATTCATAAGGTAATCGCCCCATGTGTAAATCACATTTAAGTCTATCTGCATGAGGAGTGGAAAGGTAACAGAACTGGACTAATTGCTTCTTAGTCCTTGCTAGTTCTTTTTGTGTTGCTGGCAAGTGCACAGGCAGGACCAGCATCTTGGCTAGGCCTCTGCCTGGGCCCACTGGTAAGAGTCCCCTACAACTACCCCTCCTTTTCACCTGACTCTCAGACAAAGCTGGTGCTGAGAGTGAGGTGCACTGAATGCCTCAGCCCTTCACTCGCTGGCTGTCAGGCAGGCAGCTGGTAACAGTGAGGAGAAGGAAGGTAAGGAGTAGCAGCAGTGGTGAGAAGGGAGACACACGGAGAAAGAAGATCCACTGAAGATGTCTTGCCCAAAGGCCCGCAAAGGGTGGCACTGAGAACAGGGCTTCCTGCTCACCACCACTGATACTCCACGCTAGAAGCTGCACGTTTTAGTGAATCTTTTCCATTACTCTTGTGAGTACAGGGGAGTTTCCTCAGGAACCAGGCCTGCTTCCTGTCTCAAAGAAAGGCATCGAAAAGGCCTGACCTGGTACATGGGAAAACCTCTTGTCATGGAAGCCTCCTTCACCATACTCCTTTCAGAAACATCTGCAGTAGCGATCAAGTCTGGAAAACCCCCTCTTATTTGATATTGTGGATAATTCATTTTGCAGTGTTCCGAGGGGATCAAATCACCCCCAGATCCTGAAGCTGTTTGGCTGCAAGTCTTTAGGCTATCTTTATCTCTTATGTTTCAAGTCACCTTTCAGGGCAAAATTAATGTCAGTCACATTGACCCTCCAGGATTCTGCCAAGAGCTCTAAATAAAGTATTACTGCAGTCAGTGACAAAGGCAGATGGTCCCTGAGGAAGACAAGGAAGGAAACAAATCAGTACCTATCTTTCTTCTTTATTATTTTTGAAAAAGAGGCCAGTAAGAATTCTGTCAGAAACTTCAAGCTTGAATGAGATTTTAAAATAGAGCTTTTGTGTGTCTGCCTAAAGTAAGCGGGGGATAGCATACATTCAAAAAGAATGAACTAAAGTCCCTCATGTTAGCTGGATATTGCTCTCATTCCTGACTAATTTATTACCTTGCCTCCCACTTTCTGAAAAATGAATAGATTCAGACAATTTAGTTGGCTGCTTCTCTCCCTCTGTTCTTTTTGGACACTGTAGTCCATTTTGGACTCCTCCTCCTCTCTTTCTTGCCTTGGAAAATGGGTAGAAAGGGCCTTGTAGAAAGTCTGTGACTCAGCAGTACACAGCGGGAGAAGAAGAAAGCAACTATCCAAGGGCTACTGCTTTGTCTTAGAAATGCCTTATTCTGCTGCATTGTTGAAAAACAATGGAAAGCACAAAATGGTTTATACAACATGGTACAGTAGAATGGACTCTTGCGTAAACCCTGTATGGGTGCGCAAGTTTCCCTCGCCTTTCTTCCTTTCCTACCAGGGAATCCTTTTAGCGCTGCTCTTTAGAAAGAATTATCCTTGGGAACAGAACAAGAAGCCCTCTTCTAGAATAGGCCTGTTGTAGGCAATGCCAGGCCCATAAAGTACAGCTAGTTGCTCCTAAAATAGGAGACTGGCTCCCTAAGAGAAGCATACCCTGCCAACAGATGAATGGGGGCCTGCATTGCCACCGGTAGATCCATTTTTATGAACATTGAACTGAATTGTTTCACTTGTTTACCACGTATCACCAAATGGTCCACTGAAGCAAACCCGGTTTACTTTGCTCTGAAGTCTTATGTTTGGGCTACAGTATCTTCTGGAAGAGGTAAAAATGCAAGAACACTTCCGTCTGGGCAAGTTCAAAGCACTTCTGTGCCCCCAGGATCCTCAGTGATCGCTCCCTCCCCACAGTAGCTTTCTGCTGGCTCAAAGCCATGCATGGATATTCACACTTTTACAGAAACCATCCATCCATCCAGTCATAGCAATTTTCAACTGGGCAATATGGAGTCTGGTGCTGTGACAGCCTTTGCTTCTCTTCCCTTCCCTTCTTCCATTTCTGTCCTCCATAGAGACGAGTCCATAGCTGCCTCTATGGACTCTATAGCTCCAAGCTGTCCAGGGGCAGAACAGAATATGACAATATTCTGAGATGATTTGGCTTTACAGTATTTTATCAGTTCCTGGCACATACATGAGCATATTACTGCATAGCCCATTCTGCTATGAAAAGTATGGATGGCATCCTTACTGACAGATCCAGAACTGGCCAAATCCCAACCTAAAGCTTCAGTGTGTCACTCAGACAGGCTCCTTTGGGAGCTCTGTTCAAACGAGCACTGATCGCGCCGAATGTTGCCACAAAGATGGACCTGGTTGGGGACCTTCAAGGGCAGCCTAGTAGGGCCCACGGACAAGGGGCTCGTGGTCTCCTTCCTTCTCCACTTTGCCATTTGCAACCTGCTTGTCTGGGCCAGAATGAGAGGCGGGAGGACAGCAGTGGGGGCAGGATAGGGGAGGGAAGGATGCTCCTGCCAGTGCGCTTCTTGACACTCTGCCTGTCGAGCGAGCAAGTGGTAGGACTGAGGGGAGAGAGATGAGGGGCAGGAGCACCCAGAGGAAGTGAACTCACCAAAGGAGGTCAAGTTTTAAGTGCATCTTGCCTAAGGGAGCCAACACTGGCACAAGTCTCTATGCAATCTACAAAATGCGTATCAGTGTGAAGTTAATGTTTTTATGTGTCATCAAGTCATCTCCAACTTATGGCAACCCTATGAATGAAAGCCCTCCAAAATGTCCTATCCATGACAGCCATGCTTGGCTCTTGTAAATTCAAGGCTTCGGCTTCCTTTATGGAGTCAATGCATAATTGATTTGATCTTCTTCTGCCTTCAACTTTCCCTAGAACGATTGTCTTCTCCAGGATGTTTTGCTGTTTCACGATGTGCCTGAAGTAGGAGAGCCTCAGTTTTGTCATGTTTACTTGTAGGGAAAGCTCTGGCTTGAGTGAATACAGTTGTGTAATTATGACACCTTCTGTCCACTTCCATTTCAGCTTTAATCGCCTTGATTTACCTCCATATGAATCTTTTGAAGAATTGCGGGAGAAGCTTCTTATGGCTGTTGAAAATGCTCAAGGATTTGAAGGAGTGGATTAAAATGGTACCTGCTCCTGATCGTTGTTGTTCTTATTATTAAAACAAAGATTCTGTTCACGGAGCAAGTTCTGCGTGCATTTTTGATTGGCCTAACAGACATTTTACAAGAGACAGTTGCAGAACAGTTGCACAGCGGTTGGTTCATGGAGCAAACTCTTGTACAGTGCAGATGTCTAAATCCAGCAATTGGAAGTAACCTTCACCTGTGGATAGTATTTCTGAATTTTTTCACGGCAAATTACCAACGGGTTGACGTGTACTCTGACTACATTTCAGCAGGACTTGATCTATTTATGTTATGCCTCTGTAGGCAAAAGCCCTTAATAAATGTTTTACATACTTTCTAATGACATTGAATGGAATTAATCATTTTACAGGTATAGTATTACACCTTATGTTTACTTTTTAAAAATGATTTAGACATTTTCAGATTTTATTTCATTACAATTAAACAAAAAATCATATACTGGAAAAAATGATCTTATTTCTTTAATTTGTGTAGATTATGCCAGTGACATTTTATTATCAAAAGTCCTTCTTTTGTTGTTTTTAGTCTTATGCCCTTGATTATTTAGAATCCTAGAAGCAAACTTTTGCAAGAAATGTTCTGTGAATTGGAAATATTATCAGAAAAATGACAAATGCCTTTGGATTGAATTGAACTTTCACAAAGAGAGAAAACGGCTTTAGTAATTTGGGTGTATAGTATTTTATACAACTCAAAAGAATATTTACAAATTACCAAGGATCATAAAGTAACACAGCATGCCAAATTTCTCATTCAATAAAGAAATTGCCTCACTATTCCTTAATAATATTTATATGTATTATAGCTCCTTTGTCGATGGGGTTGGCATTATTGTCATTGGGGAAAATGCTTAATCCTGTTGCTTACCTTTGTATAGTGACTGTTTTATTAATTCTCTACTCTTTGCGATGAAGGCATTTTGAATGAGTCCTGGCTGCGCTTGATCTGGAGGCTGTGGAAACCAGATCCTTGGAATCTCCTGTTTGTATGCGTTTGCTAATAGCATCTAAATGATTGGGATTTTTCCCCTTTTATTTTTAGCTGCACCCATTCTAGAAGCACTTTATGTACTACATGGAGCTCATATCTTTTTTTAAATCATAAACATTAATGTGATGATATACTTACCCCTGCCCATGTCTTTTTGGTGCAATATCTTTCAGTTGTGACTCTGACAGCGGCTGGCAAAGTAAAGCAAACAAACCTATAGAGCTGGAATTTCAGACAGAAATTGTACTTTGTGGGACTGGGGGATTTTCCCTGACCAAGATTTATTTAATATACACAGTTATCTAGCCACTTTTGTAACCTATGACATGTTGCATGATTAAATGATAATGCTGAACTTGTAACTGTGATGTAACAGATTAAAGGGGAAAGAGCAGACGTGGTACCTGTGATCCACTTGAAGAAGACTCGTGGCAGAAGCATGTTGACCAATCACAGAGCGGGTTCAGTTCAGCTTGACACATCTTTGACCCCTTCATGCAAAACCAGCAACCCAGCTAAGGCTGCAAGCTTAAGCACACTTACTGGCGAGTAAGCCCCATTGGACACAGTGAGGTTTATGTCTGAGTAAAGATGCACAGGATTGGACTGCACAGGTTATTTTCACAGGCTTAAATATTCCACCAGATCCACAGCATTCTCTCTTTTTTATTTACTCTTCCAGTCTTCCTTGTTCTCCTTTTTCCACTCAGCCTATCCTTTTCTTTAAAAGTTAAGCATGGAAATTACAGGGCTGCCACAAGTCCAACCCAACTTAGAGGAAAGATAGAACCCATTTCTGGCCCTCAACCAGAGGTTCGTCTTATTCTACTCTTTCAATTTCCAGATCCTGTTGTCTGCACCAACATGGTTTCTTTTCCACTTTCTCTTTAGGTTTGCAGAAGATGGCCCCTAAATAGGTAGATCAGTATTTGGACGTCAAGAAGTATTAAATTTGACCTAGGCAAACAAAAAAACTAATGAAAAGTAAGGCTCTGTTTTCAGAACGAGCCTTAACATTGGCCATACTTTTGTAACTGCAAGCAAACAAGGGATCAGAAATCCAGGACAGGTCATTCTGTAGGACAGGTTGCAAATAATTAATGACTTCCATGTTGAAATACTTTGGAGCAAGGTATTGGAGAGGAGAGTTAATCCACCATATAGTCACTGTCCAATGGTACCTTCCTTTTTCTACCCCTTAAATTGCTACCACCCACCTTTGCATTTTATAGGGATTTGGTAAGGCTCCAGTTTTGACATGAGAGTCTGCTTCTGCCACCTTGGTCGTGGTCTCCGGGAATCTCACACATGGACTTCCCACTGCACTTGCTTTGGGAAGATTCTTTCTCCTGAGTCCTGTTGCAATTTTTGATGCCTGCATTTCTCAGCTTTTTGGGTAACGGGTGAAAGGTTCTTTCCCTCACATAATCTGGCATACCAGTCCCACTCAGAAGTAATTGCCTTTGTGTTCGACTGAGCTTATTCCCAGGTAAATATGTACAGAATTACAACTGAAAGGTACAATCTTATGCCTGTCTGAGGCGTACTGGAATCCCTTTTTCTGTCTAAATATGCATAATACTGCACCCTAAGTAACAAAATATTGCTCCTCCCAGCTTGTGTATCAACTATGAGCATGGTAGAAAGGGGGAAGCAGGAAGTACCCCTTTTTAAACTAAGATAATTTGTGAGCCCAAAATGCAGCAACATGATATAAAAATGACTGTTGTGTGCTTTTAAATTGGATACTTAAAAAGGCTAAATCATTGCAACACAGTCCTGGGAGGAACAAAGTTGTACATTGAAAAACATCAATAAATATGTGTCAAGACCATGGTGGGGTGTACAGGAAGAAGCTGAGTTTGTTCTTAAAAACAGAAAAGTGTGAATGCATATTTTTCCTAGCTCTCCTTGAAATCCCTAGAAAAATAAACAGTTAGTTTCTCAAAAGAGCTCACTTACGCCCACATATTTCTTTCTTGTAAGAACATCAGAAGCTGCCTTATACAGAGTCAGACTTTTGACCCATCCAGCCTGGTAGGGCCAACTCTGACTGGCAGGGGCTTTTGCATTGCTACCTGGAGAATGCTGTGCATTGAACCAGGGAGCCTATGCATGCCGGGCCGGTATTCTGCCCCTGAGCAATGACTCCTCTCTCACATCATCCCACTGGATCCTGCATCTACAACAGCACTGGCTGCCATCTTATGTTCTGAATGGATGCCCATGGGCATAGGGTCAAAGAGAGCTGATGGACAAGGAAGCAGGTGCGGGGCCCTTGCCAAAGCACCGTGGGTCTGAGAGAATAATTTGGTGACCAAAAGAGTGGAAGAAGCAGTTCCTGAAAGGGCCAGCTTGGGAACCTCAAGCCATGTATTCAGAAATAAGGATTTGGGTCAGGAGTGAAGAATGGATGTTGTTGTTGTTGTTGTTATTTCTGTGCTATTCAGTACCTGACACTCTTGGACAGTAGACAACCATTAAAATACAATAAAATATAATGGAAGAATAAAACAACAATAAACACATCATGAAATTACATTAAAATGGAAAACCACATTGGATGGCGCAAAAGATGTTAGGAAGATAAGTTGATGAGTTAGACCATTAGATCATCTGTTGGCAGCACTGTTGGCAGCAATGGCTCTTTGGCAGCCTTTCCCACCCTTGTGCCTTCCAGGCACATTTGGATGGCAACGCTCAGAATTCCCAGTCAAAGCTGGATGGGAATTCTGGGAATTGTGGTCCAGATGCCTCTGAAGGCCACCAGGTTGGGGAAGGCTGCTCTTGTGGGTCTCAGAACTTGTCCAAGCCCTACCTGGAGAAGTTGGAGATTGGCCCAGAGTCCTTTCGCATGAAAAGCAGATGATCTTTCCTGATTCCATTAGGCTGCAACTCCCATCATCCCTCACCACTGGCTAGGGTGAATGAGAGTCCCAGCCCCACAGCCTTGTTTTTGGAGTATACGTGCATTCCTTGTGAAAATAAAAGATGGGGCAGGCTGCCATATAGGGATGTCACATTCCATTAAAAATGGTCTTCAGTCCCGCTGGCTTCCTGAGACATTGCTTAGCTAAGTGACCCAGCCAGAGTATCAGAACAACCCTAGGTCAGATTCCGTTTCAACTAGAGTCTTCCAAGGCGGATGGAGAGGTTGCACTTTCCCCACACCAAAGTAACATCTGTTTGAGAATGATGAGGGGCACCTTATGTGGGGCAGGAGTTCCTCAAATAAGAAGCTCATCCAAAAAGATACCTAACTGTAAAATTCAGGGGATGGACCTTTAGTTAAGGAGGGCCACCATGGCTTTTGTTTGGCTTGGAGCTGCATTGGCTGGCCTCCTGGACACCTGTGTTCAGGACTGATGAAGGAGAGATGCTCAGGATTACCCGGTTCCCCCGAACATTCTGTTGCTGCTTGTCTTGTGCTTGATTCCCTTTCGTGTTTGTCATCACCTCTCTGGGTGCAAAAAGGAAATTTGCACAAGTCTCTTATTTACACGATTTTCCTCATACCCGCTAAAGCAGGGTTGTTTCTGACTACAGAGAAGATTTGTGCAAATTGCAGTGTGAATCAGGGATCAGATGAGTGCAAGCATGTGTTCAACAATTTATTAATATTTTCTGTGGACATGTGCTCCCGCTTATGCTTCTGTTGGGAGCTTTGAACAGGGCATGCATGCATGTTTTCCAAGCAAAAGCAAAATGTTCATTATCTGTCACAAAGCTGAATTCTAAAGACTTCATGTTGGGAAAAATTGTATTCATTTTCTGAAGTGTCTGAAATCTTTACATTGTGGTGTCTGGAGAGTGTTACAAGTATTACAACTAGGACTGCAGTGCCATAAAGCTGTTTTGTATAGCAGGGGTGGGCAGAAAGTAGATAAAGCTCTCCCCATAGTTGTATTGGTCATGTGCAGTAGATGTGCCAAGATTTTGTACACCCTATTTCTAACAGCAGCAGTACAAAAAGATTCTCCTCTTTAATTAAACAGGCAACATGAAGAAAATGGGGAGGGGGCTGGAAGAATAAAAAGTGTATGTTCAAGTAAAAGGCCGTGTGCTCTATTCTGATACCAAGAACAAGTTTTGGCCTGGGCCGTGCATTGAGAGGCACTCCGGTTCAATAAATCTATTAGGTTATTCATCAGTTCTCATTTTCATAACTGAAAAAAACCCACACTTCCCAAATTCATACAGTGGCTATTAACTAGTAGCCAGTCACCAACAGGTGCTAGTCTTGCTAGCTGTGTGCTACCTCCTTTCCCAGAGGTGGCCTGCCTGCATGCACCAGGTGCTGGGTAGCTTCGGCAGGTCGCGGTCTCTACC